GCTCTGCCCCTCAGCAGGCTGCTGGGCCTGCTCCGTGTTTGGTCCCAGTTCTCTCTATAAATTCTTAAGTGTTCTTTGGCTAAGAAAAAATAATGAAAGAATAAAAAATAGTATAAAGAAAAGCAATATTTTTTAAATCCATAAACTATATTTTAGAGCAGTTTCAGGTTCCCATCAAAGTGGAACAAATGGCACAGTACATCCCTTGCTCCCACAAGTGTGCAATCTCTGTCACTCTGGACATGTGCACTTGAGTGGTACATTTTTTAACAGTTGATGAATCTCTACCATTATCACCCAAACTCCATAGTTTACTTTAGGGTTAATTCTTTTTATCTGCCATTTTCTATGGGCTTTGACAAGTATATAAAGACATTGTCATATACAGAATAGTTTCACTGCTCTGAAAATCTGTGTTCTGCTTCTTCATCCCTCTTCACAACCTTTAGCAACAACTAATCCTTTTACTTTCTGCCCAATTTTGCCTTTTTCAGAATGTCATATAGTTGACATAATGCAATATCTAGCCTTTTCACATTGGCTTCTTTCACTTAGTAATATATGTTTAAGTTTCTTCCCTGTCTTTTTTTTTTTTTTTTTTTTCCAGCTTGATAGTTCATTTCTTTTTAACAATGAGCAGTATTTTTTATTTCCTTACAGATGATTCAAGAAAATGGCTACTTGACTACTTTTAGTTGAAAGTTGGTAAAAGAACTTTAAGAATTCACTTTGAATTTCTGAATTGTTATAAGTAAAAGATTTTTCATGCTGCATTTTGTTTCAATTTAGAATGTGTAATAAATTATAAAACATACTATAGGATGACTCAGTTATCTAAGTACAATATATGAGAACATTCACAATTCAGATGAATTTAGTACCATTCAAAGCATTGATTGACTGTACTTACTTACAGTTCCATCTCTCTTAGCACCTTGAGACTACTTTTGGCATTGATTGCACATCTGGGTTGAGATAGTATAAACTTCATTTCTTATTTTGACACATTTTGAGCTAAATAGTAAGGGATAATTAGATTGGTCATACAACTTATTGCCAAACTTGTCTCTAAATGACATGATTATTGAAGAGAAAGCTCTTTCTGTAAAGGACAAAGTACTTCTATCTGTGGAATGTACTTTGTACTTATGACATAGGCTATGAATCCCTGAGACAGCATATTTGAGCATGAGTAGCATGGATAAATATCTGTTTAGTGAAAATAATTCTGTGAGTGTTTTTAATCATTCTTTTATGTTAGTGATAAAGTATGTTTTAGGCATTCCTATACTTGCTAAGTATAGATTATTTCAGTGAGACATACTAAAGTGGTAGAATAAATATTAGAAACATAATATGAAAATTTTAGTTGTTTTCTGATATGTGACTTATATGAATATGATAGAGCTTTTTTGCCTTATGCAGATAATTTAAATGATTTTATTTGGACTAATTAGTGAAAGAATGATAAAAATGTAAAATGGTTTGTCATCCATTTTGGATTACTTTTTGAAAATAGTAATTTATTAATTAATTTGTTGAAGCACTATGAAGTACTTTGTTATCAAGATATGTAGAATAGCCAGGGGTGATAGTATACAGCTATGATTCCAGATACTTGGGAAGCTAAGGCAGAAGGATCTTACTTTCCAGACTGGACATCTTAGGGAGACCCTGTCTCAAAAAATAAAGTGCTGGGGAGGTTCTTCATTGGTAGTGCATTTGCCTTGCATGTATGAGGCCCTGTATTCAATCTTAGTACTGGGGTGGTGGGACTCAGAAATAGATGTAAAATGATGCGTATTCAATGTTTATGATAACCTTAAAATATTCAGAGTATGAAATATGTTCTTGATTCAGATTTCCTTCGAAAAAAATTATTGCTGAAGTGTTTGAAATGAAATGTACTTAAAAACTTAAGATTTTAGTTTCTTTTTGGAAGTACTGGATTAAATAAGAATGTTAAGTAAGAATTTATGATGTGGTACTAGAATTTTCTTCTTTTCTTTTTCAGGCTCAAACTGCCTTTTCTGCAAACCCTGCCAACCCAGCAATTTTGTCAGAAGCTTCTGCTCCCATCTGTCAAGATGGAAGTAGGTTTATACTTTGGGTTTATTCTTTCAGCACAGAAGTACTTGTTAAGTGTAATCCAAGATTCATTTTTTTTTTCTTTTTGGATAGACTGTATAAAATTGGTGGTTAAAGTTCTAGTAGAAATAAAGAAAAATATTTATTAAAAAATAGCCCTTTATCTAATTAAGAGAAAAAACTGTGACTCTGAAGATTTGTTTTATGACTTAAGTAAACTGATTTTAGTGTGACTCATAAGTCTCTAATAAGATTAATTTATGAAAAAACCTTACATGGGAACTATGGTTTTCTTCACTGCTGCTCTTGAACTTCATCAACCGTCTCCTGTCTTTGCTAGGGGAACTTATAAAATTTCCAGCTACCTACATTTTGGAATATTTCACAGATTCAGGAGTATTTTAAATCTCCATATCCCGTCTTCTCCTTTTCCTTCACATTTTAGAGGGATTGAGGACAGAGTCTCTAAATAAGAGGACTTAAGATGCAAATCCAATGTTATATAAGTTCTTTGTGTACTGTCATCTTGTTTTATAGCTATTTATAACATTTTTACTTTAGAATCCATTTTAAGTTACAAATAGATCATTTTAAAAAGAGCTTTTGAAAATAGTACACAACTACTAAAAACTTTTAATATTATTAATCTAAAAATACTGTTTCTAGGGGCTGGAGTTGTGGCTCAGCAGTAGAGAGCTTGCCTAGCATGTGCAAGACCCTGAGTTTGATCCTTAGCACCACATAAAAATAAATAAATAAAATAAAGGTAGTGTGTCCAACTAAAAAATAAATATTTAAAAAAAATACTGTTTCTAGGATTTCATTGGAATGTGATTTACATTCTTAAAATGATATGGGACACTTTGAATTTTCTTTCTTAGTGTTGTTAGTTGAGAAGATTCATTCCATAGCCATGTTTAGTGAATGAGTCACAGAGTAGCTGGCTTGACAGTAGACATTTTGATCATTTCTGAATTGGAGAAATCAGCCATACTCTTATACAATTCCTAATGAAATAGGTTTAAGAAACAGAAAAGGGAATATAATTTATTTGGAAAAATTGTTTTTACTCTTGAGTAGTCAGTCCTCTGTATCCTTGGGTTTTGTATCCACAGATTTATTCAGCCACACATTGAAAATAGAATTGCCAGTTGTGCATGCTTATAATCCCAGCAACTTGGGAGGCTGAGACAGGAGGACTGCAAGTATTCAGGGCCAGACTCAGCAACTTAGCAAGGCCCTGTGTCAAAAAAATAAAAAGGACTAGGGACATTGCCCAGTGACAAAGTGACCCTGGGTTCAATCTCCAGTACTAAAAATAAATAATAAAAAGTAAAAATTATATGTACCGAACATGTACAAAATTATTTTCTTGTCATTATTCTTTAATATAATCAGTAACTATTTATGTAGCATTGCATTATATTAACTAATACAAGTAATCTAGTGGTGATTTAAAGTATATGAGAGGATATGCATAGGTTATATGTAAATATTACCCCATTTTATATGAGGAACTTGAGGATCTACACATTTGGTTTTCTGTGCTGGGTCCTGAAACCAATCCCCCATGGATACTAAGGGATAACTGTCTTAGAAATCGAAGATTGATTCAGTTCAGATGTATTCATATTTTATGACTTTTATCTTACACATTTTTTATATTTTTCATTTTGAATCACAAAGATGTGGAAGTCCCCCTCCAAATTGCTACTTTATATTCTAGATTTTCTAACTTAAATATCATTTTTTAAATACAGGTAGAAGTCCTATGTAAATGGTAGTTTTAATTTTGAGTATTCTTTCAGTGCCTTTTCCTTCCTTCATTCATTCTTCTGTTTATATTAGATCTCTATCCTAAACTGTATCCGGAGCTCTCCCAATACATGGGCCTGAGTTTAAATGATGAAGAAATACGTGCAAATATGGCCATGGTCCCTGGAGCATCAGTTCAGGGGGTATGTATAATATAATTAATTTTGAATTTTGTGTCATAATTTTATACATAGATTTAAGCTCTCCTTTTTGTAACTAACTCACAAATTTATAACTTAAGCATTGACCAAGTCTCTTAAATTTTACACTTCCTTGTGGATATTACTTTTTGCATTATCTGCTTCCTATTGTGCTGTTACCACTGTTTGGATTTATTAGGACTTAAAAGTTCAGATGTTTGGAAAAAAATTCATATGCTTGGGGCTGGGGATGTAGTTCAGCGGTAGACTCTGTGCTCGCCTAGCACATGCGAGGCCCTGGGTTCGATCCTTGGCACCACATAAAAATAAACAAAATAAAGGTATTGTGTCCAATTAAAAATAAGTAAATAAAATACAATTAAAATAAATAAAAAAAATTCAGATGCTTTTTACTAGTTCTTTGTCTTCTGCATTTATTCAGTTACTGAAACCTAGATTCTGTCTCTCATATTTCTTGTGCTCATTTTATCCATTCCAGTTCTCCTATAACCATATTCAGGGTTTCTGGACTTCTAAACTAGACTGTTACAGTAATATCTTACATTTCCTGTAGTAACTTCTTATTTCAAACAATATTAAGATGCTGGTAGGTCAATTAATCTGAAGTACAGATCTGTCATATTTCTTTGCTCATAATCTCTTAATAGTCCTATACAATCCCAAACTCCATATAATTAGGCCCCAGATTCTGGGCTTCAACATATCTGGTGGTTATAAATATAGTAAAAAGATCATGACAGAATCCATGTCTGTCTTGTTGCCATAACCCTGGTGCTTAATACAGTACCTTGCATTTATTTAGCAAATAAATGTAGGTCCAGTTGTGAAAATAAATTGTAGTAAGTTTTTATCAGAGATAATTTAAGAAATGAAGAATTGAAAAAGCAAAAATTGAATATAGGTGTAACTGCAGAAAGTTAGCTACTTCTGTCAGGACTGAGTAACATAGGGAAGAAGTTGGAATAAATAGAAGCTTAGGCAGAGAGCTCCACAGAGCTAGACTCAGATCTTAGAAGAGAGAACCCTGCTGAAGTATCATGCCTTCTGAAGGGTTGAAATGAGGCTGGTTCTGAGTGACAGTAATAGATAGATACTGGAAATAGCTGTGTAGGTTAAGGGCCATGCTCAGGCAGTGCTGATAAAAATCAAAAGGAAACAGAAAATAGGCACTTTTCCCTCCAGTCTCTAGGGCCTCATGTGATGAAAGGGAACCCAAAACATTCTGATAAAGGAAAATGTAACTTCAACAATTCAGGCCCCAGCACCACCAAATAAAGAATAGAAGAGTGCATTTGGAGCTTTTTGACAGTAGCTTAATACCAGGGTATATTCACATACTTGTAGAAATATTTGAACTTTATATGACAATAACAACGTTATATTTTATTCTTAAAAGGTGCAATTCACCTTCATAAAACCAAGATTCAGCAAAGTTTTTTTTTTCCATAAAGTGTCCCATAATCATCTTAGTCTTTAATAATCACTTATGACCTGTCACATATTTTGTATTTTATTTAGAGTCAGGGTCTCAGTTGCTTAGCACCTTGCTCTTACGGAGGCTGGCTTTGAACTCAATCCTCCTGTCTCAGTCTTCCGAGCTGCTGGGACTGCTGGGATTACAGGTGTGCGCCACTGTGCCCAGCTTGTTTACAACTTTTAAAAATATAAAAATCATACTTAACTCTGGATTATGTAAAAATCAACCAGTTACCTCTGATAAAAATGAAGTGGCTTCCACATAAAAATACCTTCTGAAAAATGTCTCTCAAAAGCATAGCATGGCCTTTAAGTTTGAGGAAAATATATTTGAAATGAAGACAAATAAAAATATCCTTTTTGAGAGGGATACATTCTAAGAAATGATTTGTTAGTTGATTTCATCATTGTGAAGATGTGGAGTGTACTTGCACAAACTGAGATGGCCATGTAATCAATAGGCCATAACTTATGAGAGTATTTTCATTGGTGGTCTATTGTTGAGTTAAATGTCAGTATGCAGCAAATGATGGTATGCATGAAATAAGTGCCAGTGAATTTGAAAAGGCACAAAAAAAGGAATTAGTAAGTAAATACTAGTGTCATTTTTTGCAGAAGTCAGACTTTGTCTGAAAGAAATTATTTATAGATTAATTTTTGGAAAAGCACAACTGAGTTACTTTCCAGGTATTTTAATTTTTTTTCAGGACATTGTTTCTAAATATTGACACATTCTATATGTTTTTTTCAGCAGTTGGTAGCAAGACCTTCCAGTATGAATTATATGGTGGCTCCTGTAACGGGTAATGATGTTGGAATTCGTAGAGCAGAAATTAAGCAAGGGATTCGTGAAGTCATTTTGTGTAAGGATCAAGATGGAAAAATTGGGCTTAGGCTTAAATCAATAGATAATGTAAGTACTTTAATATCTAGTTTATCTAAATAGCTTATAAAATATTAAGTGATTAATATTAAAATAACTTGAAATAGAAATGTTTTAGTTGTAATGATGCATCTATAACAGAATATTATAAATATTAACTTGTTTAATTGGAGATGCCCTATTTTGAGAAGGCAGACTAGGAACTTGCAAGAATATTACTTTGAATGATTTTTTTTTTTTTCTTTTCTGAGTACTCACCAGACTACTTATTATAAACTATTAAACTATGTTATGTATGTATAACATAATAGAAGAACATTCTGGGATTGAAATAGGGTGACATATATGAAAGTTAAGAAAAAAACTGATCTGTGAGAATCGACATACATTCATTTTTTAAAAAACATTTTTAAAGTAAATGATGATGTGAGATGATTTTACAGGTTTGTTATTTCTGCCCTTGAAATTCAAATTTAATAGGTCATTTTCTGAGCATGTTTCTAATTAGGGCAATCACTATTTTAATAAAGTAGTAATAGAACAATTATTTCTCACCATACTGAAGACATGAAACAGGGTTACTCTCTGAGGAACATTTTAGAATTTGTTAAGGACATGTTGGGTCTTTATCCTGATTTATAGTTTTGGCCATTACTTTATTGGATTTAGTGTCAGTCTTAAGTCTCATCAGCTCGCTAAATCCAGCTTTTGCACATACAAAAATAAGGCTAACCTTGGCAGGAAACCCCATTCCTGCCTGAAAATCCAGAGGGTTGAGGGTATTTGATTTCTTCATGCTCATAGCTCATTGAAGACCTGTCAGTGTGCTTGATTTAAAGGAGTTAACATGGCACATTACACTCATAGTTTTTCTTTTCTTGTTTTTCTTTTTCTTGGTTTTGATGGGAGATTTCTAACCAGCACTTTCAAATCATGACCACTTATTTTCTTATTGTTTAGGGTATATTTGTTCAGCTAGTCCAGGCTAATTCTCCAGCCTCATTAGTTGGTCTGAGATTTGGGGACCAGGTGCTGCAGATCAATGGTGAAAACTGTGCAGGCTGGAGCTCTGATAAAGCACACAAGGTGCTCAAACAGGCTTTTGGAGAGAAGATTACTATGACCATTCGTGATAGGTAAGCTTTTGATAAACAGTTCAAATGGAAATTCAGGACTAGTTTTCCATTTTTTTGGGCTTTCAGGATTCTGTAAATATAGTGTTGGAGAAAATAATCAAATGTTATTGATAAGCCTTAGGATCTTGAAGTTGTTTGGTGCAGATTTTTCTTACATAGTTTGATTTTTTTAAAAGTAAAATTCTGATTTTGCATATACACCTTATTTCAGAGTTTATAGGTGTCACGAGGGTCGGAGTCTACTTAGAACTCCAGAAGTTTATGAGTTTTGAAAACCACATCTGGCCTTTTAGGTGATTATGAAGCTCTAGTTGTCAAGAGGATAAAACATTTGGTAGTGCTTACTTCGGTTATAACTCTTAAATATTAAGCACATGATACTGAGCCTCCCTTTATCTTATTTGCCAGTCCCCACAAGTGTGAAGGGTGGAGCTATATCACATTGTTACAATAAATTTGTGAATTTTTGTTTATCTCAGTTTAACTTCTATTTTCTCTATAATTGTTTCTAATTTCTAATATATTTTAGATATTTAGTAAGCATTTTTATAGATGAAGGTCATTTTTTCTGTATATCTAAACATAGTTTTACCAACAGGAAGATGTGACTTTTGAATTTTATAATGTAAGCACAGGTTGATTTATGATAGCAGGGTTTTAGAGATGTGAGCAAGTATAACTGATATGACAGCTTCTAAGAGCACACACTGACTGTCTCTTTATATAGCTGTGTACCTTCTTTTCCAAATGGGGCTTGAGGAAATCTTACTGCTTTTATAGGTCTTCTAAAATAGAGCAAAATAAAGCAACAACAAAAACACCCATTTTTCTATAAAATTTTCAAACTTAAGATGTGAGAAATACTATAAAAGGTTTTAAAATTTTTTTTAATGTTTCTTAAGAGTTAGGTAGGCTTTAATAAATAGTAAAAGTTAATAAAAGGAAAAATTCAATTTTAGCTCTTGATTTGGGTTAAAAAATTCAAGCCTCATTGCTAATGCAAAAGTATTATGAATTTTAAAGGGAAAAGCTATTGTTGAACTGCAAGAAGCATTTTGTTCACTTGTCTTTGATACTAGTCAGGATTTCCTTCTTCAGATAAACCAAATCATAATGAAGATATTTTTGAAAGCATTTTACACAAATTACAGTGCATGTACAACATCAGAGCCATAATTAGTTTTTTGCTGGAAACACTTAATATTTATTATAACTATCCAATAGGATGGAATTTATGGTTATATGAATTCCATTAAATGTTTACCTTAGTATTAAATTTTTTTATTGATTTAAAAAAAAATAAACGACAGTGGAATGCATTGCAGTTCTTATTACATGCATACAGCACAATTTTTCATATCTCTGGTTGTAAATAAAGTATGTTGACACCAATTCGTGTCTTCATACATGTACTTTGAATAATGATGTCTATCACAGTCCATCAGTATAAAATTTTAATTGAAATTGTCCATTTTGTTTGCAGGCCCTTTGAACGCACAATTACCATGCACAAGGATAGTACTGGACATGTTGGTTTTATCTTTAAAAATGGAAAAATAACATCCATAGTGAAAGATAGTTCTGCAGCCAGAAATGGTCTTCTCACTGAACATAACATCTGTGAAATCAATGGGCAGAATGTCATTGGCTTGAAGGTGAGGAATAGTCCTTCTGTGTGTTCCTGCTGCAGTTTTATTTTAGAAGACTTCTTTTTCCTTTGATCATTTAGGTGGTGCTGTTTTATATTGACCTCCAAAATACAGAAACTTGGGAGGTGCAATGTGTAGGACCTGGGGCTGTGGTCTGGCCTGGACCCAGCTAGCTGTGTTTACAAAAATTCCCTGAAATGTTACCTAGAATCTTCTTTCCTGTGTACAGAAGGGGTTGGACTAGATGATCCCTGAAGTTATTTGAGTTAAAATTCTGTTGAGACTTGGGCAGTGAAAATTTTGACAACATTTAAATGATTGGTTTGGCCACCTTTTCAATCCAAGAATTTAGGAAATGAGTAATAATTTTCATCCATATTAGGACCTTTTTTTTAAAAAAAGTTTTTCTCTTTCTACAAATCTTCTAAAGTTGTAAAGGTTTTAAGACCTCATTTCATAAATTATAGAATACACAGTTAACAGGATACTGTATTATATATGGAAAAATTATTCATTTATAAATAATAAAAAGATGTTCTTATTCAGTATGTTCAGCTCAGTTAACTGATTTTGTTACCAGCTGTAAAATTGTGTTGTATAGAATTAAACTTGGCAAGGAAAGCTTAAAATGTTTAGAAATACTAAGGGTCAGGATTTGGGAGATACTAGTAAAACACAACACAATGTATATTATGTATTTCTTTATCAAGAATATTAAATAAAGTTCTAGTGAAATTAACTTTCATTATATATTTTCTTCAGGACTCTCAAATTGCAGACATCCTGTCAACATCAGGAACTGTGGTTACCATCACAATCATGCCTGCTTTTATCTTTGAGCACATTATTAAACGGTAAGTACACAAATTCTTCAGCTTAACATATATAGATGTGTGACTTTATATAAGTACCATATTTTAATTTCCAAACCTTTGGTTCTTTTACCTTAAAGATGACCTTGGTATTTATTTAGAAATTTGAAATACATTACTTAAATCAGAGGAACTGTTTGGTAAGGCCCCTTGCAACTTCCCAAGTATGAAATAAAATTCACTGTACCCTTGATAAATTTTAACAGTGCCTAATAAAGTGTTTTCAAAAAGAGGTAACTTGCTTTCAATTTGTAGTATAAATGACTACAGTAGCACTATGCCTATAGTTCCTTTGCTCAGTAGACATCTAGTCATGTTGGTTTGTTGTGGTGAGTTCTTAATTTTATTGGATGTTAAGAATAATAGTTTCAGCTAGGCATGGTGTGATGCCTATAATCCCAGCTACTTGGAAGCTGAGGCAGGAAAATCAAGTTAAGAAGCCAGTCTCAGCAACCCAGGAAACTGAGACCCTCTCTCAAAAATAAAATTTAAAAGGAGCGGGTAGTGTAGCTCAGAGGTTGAGTGCTTGCCTAGCATGTGCAAGGCCCTGGATTCAGTCCCCAGTACTGCATACAAAAATTACAGAGTAACTGTTCTCTCTAGCATCTCAAGTAGAGGTGTGTGGTTCTGTTATCTGTCCTCGGGACAGGATTGGGAAGCTCAGTGTAAAAAATTGAATAGGGCTACTTTCACTAGCACTTTTCAAATCTGAGCTTCTATCGTAACTGTTTTTGCCAAGCCAACTTCAGAATTTCTGTCATGCATGTGGAAATGAGATTTTACAAATTCATTAACATGACCTTTGTAATGAAAATTTTTATGTGGTTCTGGGTAGACTGCACAGCTTCCCTATCTTAGAGAATAATTACTTTCAAGACTAATTTTTCTAGAGTTCTCTTTTTTCTTTTTTTTGTTGGGGGTAGGATACTGAGGATTGACCTCAGGGCAATTGGACCACTGAGCCACAACCCCAGCGTATTTTATTGAGAGACAGGGTCTTACTGAGTTGCCTTGCTTTTGCTGAGGCTGGCGATCCTCCTGTCTTAGCCTCCTGAGCTGCTGGGATTATAGGCATGTGCCACTGAGCCTGCCTAGAGCTCTTTTTCTTAAACTATTTCTTCCCCACTTCCTCTCCAACTTGTTATGACCTTATCTTTTTAAAAATCATCATCCTTAGCATTACAAGGACTTACTTACATCTCAATTTGTCTAGCCAAGGTAGATAGCCTTTCATGCTGTTTTCCATCAACAAAATTATCAAGAGACTTAGATCTGAGCTCATTTGGAAGAACTTTCCCAATTTCCTCATCTAATGATACTTGGAGCTCAATTTTAATTGGGGTTTTTCTTGAATTTAACATATCATTAAAAAAAAAAAAACCTCCATGTGTAATGAAAGTGACTCTTTTGTAGGATGGCGCCAAGCATCGTGAAAAGCCTGATGGATCACACCATTCCTGAGGTTTAAGTCACAGCACAGTGTAAACACAGCTGAACTTCTCCAGTTTCCTTCTTCGGCAACTTCTGCATTATGCACATGAAGCTTTCCCGGAGCCAGGGAGCATATGCTGCATGAGGACCTTTCTATACATCATGGCTGGGAACCTTACTGTTGCATCTGATACTTTCTTCAGATTTCAAGATAGTTGTAGCCTTATCCTGGTTTTACAGATGTGAAACTTTCAAAAGATTTATTGACTTTCCTAGAATAGTTTCTCTACTGGAAACCTGATGCTTTTATAAGCCATTGTGATTAGGATGACTGATACAAGTTTAGTGTTGTGTGAGAAGCAGTCACTTTTCTTCTAGATAATGCATAGTGCTGTTCATGTTTCTTTAGTTGTATGGTGTATTTACATTATTAACATGTTACCATAGTATATTTAGGATGATTGCCTTTGATAGTTTAAGTTCTCTGTGTGTGTGTGTGTGTATGTGTGTGTGTCACCAATTAAGTAACACTGATTTCATTCCATGTAAGCATTACAGTGTATGTAGGTTGCAAGAGATTATAATGATTGTTATTAAATTTTAACTACCTTCACTTAATAATGCTTGAACTGTCGCCTTAACTGTGTTAAGCATCTAGAATAAAAGCCAAAATATAATTATTGCTGCCTTTCTAAAACCCCAAACGTAGTTGTATATTAAACTGAAATGTACACTAGCCCATAACAGTTTAATGGTACTTACTGAGCTATGGCATAGCTGCTTAGCTGTATTTGAGATTTTCTAGTTATTGCGTAATGGAAATTTCTTTCTTCTAAAATTTGCCAGTATCACTTTCTGAAAAACAAATCGCTATATATTTAATGTAAAAAATTCTTAACGCTAAACAGGATAAACTTTGGACTCCTTTTTTTCATTTGTGGATTAAGTAAGATAATACTTAATTTTGGCATTTGAATCTTAATTTTATGTAACCTAGCTACTTCAGAATGCTCTTAGAATGTTTTCCTAATAATTTGTTGTCCCCTGACTCCTTCCTGAAAACAAAATGGCAGTGACACTTATCCTTTTTTTCTTTTTGATTTATATCTATCCTGTTTTAAATAAATATGCAAAAAGTTAAACTTTAGTCTGTTATTGCATCATTTGGAACTTTTGTCAGTTGTCACACTTGTGCATGGCCTTGATGGGCACGTGAAATCTGCTTCCAACTGTGGAAGGCAGGGCACTGCTCTCCATGAGCAGCTGACATCCAGGAGTGTTGAGAACCCCTCAGATCTGAAAGGCTGTGAGTGTTGAAGCTCCTGCCCCAGTTTGCAGTCTGAGGGACGGGTTCGCCCTGTGCACTCAGGCTGTACAGCAGGAACTTGATGAGGCTGTTGATGCTCCCTACCAACACCACAAATCATATATGTGTGTGTGTGTGTGTGTGAATTTGATATTTGTTACCTTGGTTGATTCACAATTTTTCTCCTTATGCTGCACTCCTGTAAGATATGACAGTGCTTTCTAAAGAGTGTGGAAAATTTAAAAATCATATGATTATAGTGGTTCAGAAGTTGAACCTGAAAGAAAATCAGTGCTATTGCTATATAGGTTACCATGTTTGAAATTTAGTACATTTCCCAGTTTGATTATCTGTTTGGCCTGGACTTGAGTCTGAAGACAGTGATATGAAGAGTTCTGTGACTTCTGAAACTAGGGTTTTCTAAGATCAATACTTGTGATTTGTAAAAGCTACTAGTGTTTATAATCAATTTAAGTAAGAAAATGAAAACTGCTCTCATTACAGAAAAATATTTTTAATGTAGAAAAGATGAGCATTTAATAGCTTAATGAAATACAAACCATTCCTATACACAGTAAACTTACTGCTATAAGAACTGCTAATCCTTTCCCAGGTTCTTAGAAGCTGGGGACAGCATCATAGAAAGTAACCACTCCATGAAACACATTCGTAAAAACCCAGTGTCAGCAATTGATAGATCAGGAAGACAAAACAGAGTGACTCAGAAGTAGCAGACGATAACTGCACATTTTCGTGGGGAATTCTAAACTGTTGAGTGCTTTCTGATGTTTCCCCAGTTTAGTATCTCTTGGCTTCTCTCTGCCACCCAACCCAGTCTTCTACCCATCATCACACTGGGATGTAATATTTTCTCTCTAACACTCATAATTCTATCTGCCTTAGTGGATGGCAACTAATGGCTTTCAAAAACGAAATCACCATGATTTAGAAAGTTTAAAACCACAAATTTTCCATGTGGTGACACTTCTAATTACTACCATTGCACATTCACCAGTTCTTTTAAAAGTTTTGTTTAAAAATACTTTAAATAGAATTTAATGTTCAAGAGAGGAAAAGGCACTTAATACTGCAATTTCCAGAACATAATTTGTCTGTCTTCCCCTCCTGTGATGATGCTGCTACACTGTTCATTCATCCATATGCAAGTCACAGCACCTGAAAGGAAGACACATTAGGTAGGAAGGTGACCAGGAGGTAGCCAAAGATACACTCTACTGTAATGCTCACTCTTTGCTTGCTATTCATTTACAAAGAAGAAAAGTAAGTGCTACTTGTCTTTTTCTCTAACAAAATCCTTGTAATAAATTAAAAAACAAGTGCTTGGTACAAAGAACTTATGAGGAATAAAAAAGAAACCATTTCAATGTATATCTAAAGCCAAAAGAACAGGAATTATTCAGGAAATGGATTGGAAGGGATCAAATGTCAATTAGAACTACTGTAGGAATAAAATGCGTAATTTTTAAGATATACATTTAATAAAAAATAATCATGAAACTGGGGCACAGGAGAGGATAAAAGTGGGAAAAATCACAGCAGGAAGTCAATAGCTACTAGAATTAAAAACTCAGTCCTTCAAACAATGAGGAGAAAAGCATGCAAGTTTATACAAATATGACAGTAAATCTCCAAGAGATGATACTACTAGATGGAAAAAGAGAGCAGAATAGTTTTATATTACATTTCATGTATCCTACAGTTTTAGGCACATACACCTTCTCATTAAAGAGGATGTACATACACAGCATATGCTGATGAATGTCCTCCCAGGAGGCCTGGGACACAGGAGACAGCAAAAGGAGTAAGCCTAAGTTTTTAAATTTTAATTCGTTACCTTTGTATTATTTCTGGCTTCTTAAAAACTTCACTATATATTATCTTTAAAAACATTAGATAACTCTACTATGGTTTTTAATTCTCCATGTGAAAGTTAACATTAAGACTTCCTTTTTGGAGTTAAATATCTGTCAGCATGAAACCAAATCCTGGGCTGGAGCTGTAGCTTGGTGGCAGAGCACTTGCCTAGCATGTGTGAGGCACTGGGTTTGATCCTTAGCACCACATAAAAATAAATAATGACATTCTGTCCATCTACAACTACAAAAAAATTAAACAAATCCTCAGCTACCTAAGAGATGAGGATCACAGGCCAACCAGGGAGATATACAGAGCATGAACATGTGGGGTGTTTTCTGCCTGAGATGTGTTCCCTGATGGAAGAGGTGGGCTGAGTGTCTTAGAAGTGCCGATCAGGACAGGTGCAGTAACTGCTTACCTGTGTGGCCCTGTATTCTCTCACTGATTTTTGCTCCAAGGAGATCCCAAACGAGCAGCTCGCCAGACTGACTTCCAGATAAAACGGAATTTCCATCCCAGATAAAGCACCTGCAAGTGATTTGGAAATGATCATTCTGTCATCATGAAGGAAGGGTAGGTTACATTGACCAAACACCCAAATGAAATGATTGTGTGTTTGCAAATGTCTTCATCGCCTGCTTGGGAACTGTACCTCTGGGGCTCGTCTGATGTCAGGGAGGAGATGAGCATCCCTGTCTGCACATCTATTACATTCAGACAGCCATCTGCTCCTGTGCTGAGGACATGGCGACTATCTGCAACACAAAATAAGATACAGAGGGATGACTTCAGACTATTGGTTAGCTTATTCTGAAATTTAACTTCTGAATCCAGTGGCCTACTATCCACTATTGTTCCCCTTGAACTTATGTTTAAGCAATAACTCTACTGTCCTTGAAATGTTTTTATCTAAGACACAGGGATGAGATAACTCTTTGCTGTGATTTCATTTATATCTTACACATTAATTTCCCTAATAAGTTGAGAAATTAAGAAAAACATCCAATCCTTTTCTAATAGGTACCAGGGACACAGGTATACTGTATATTATACCCTGGCCTTAGCTATAGGCAAACTCTTTCCAGCAAATAGTGTTTTCCCTTTAAATTTTTACCATTCATTTCAGAATTTTAATATACATGGTATATAACCTGTATTAAAAAGGATAATACCTACCTGGGCTAAAAGCGGCATCACAAACAGTCCCTGAATGGCATGGAATCTGGTGCAATAGGGTGGCCGTAGCAAGGTCCCAAATATTCACCGTGCCTTCCTTGGTGCCTGAAACTAACAGTGTGCTTGCAGCATTTAAACTGATTGTATCCACCTACAGAAGAAAACAGGAATACATATTCCATTTGGAAGAATGATCATTAGCTACATTTTCCCAGGCTGATTCAATTATATGGTCAAAAGATATAAAGTGTCACACAGTGTGCTGGTGTTGCTAATCCAAGTGTACTTCAACAGCATCCTACTGAATGATAATTTATTTTAAAATGAAGTAGAATTACTCATATGCTGCCAAATACAAGCAGAAATGAAAATAAAATATTGCAAGGGCAATTGTAATGCTATTTTCAATAGCCTAACACTGATAGTCTCAGGCTGATCCATGACTATTTGAGGGATTTATAAGGAGTGGAGACTCGATCCACAAAATTACACTTGCATACCATCTTGAATTACATACTCAATATTTTTTAACTTCAGTTGTTCTGAAGACCATGAATATTAGATATCAATTAACAGCCTTAGGAGAAAGGTAGTGCTACTATTATAGACTAAGGTACAGCACTGAGACCCATGAAAACAATGTGCAAGAACTAAGATCCCTTCTGGTTCTGCTACCAGGCTGTGTACAATTGGCCTTCCTAAATAGCAGGTAACTGTTCTCAACTGTGAGATGAGTGTCTCCTAAACAGATGGGTCCCATCTACCTTCTAGGTCAGAAGACATGGTCTCATCTTGGGATGACAGGCCCCAGCTTGCTGCCCCAAAGAATTTGAGGCTCAGAAATTGATATTTTAGAAGTCGAGAGGTATAGAAGCTAATTCTCAGAAAAATGTGGAAAGATGCACATTGGAGGAAAAAGAAAGCAGACTCAGAAATGTACAGTTAACTTGAAAAACAGTTATCCTATAATTTCCAATAAGCAAAATACAACAATGCCAATGAATTAATACACACAAATATAACCAGGAACCGCCTCCCCACCCACCCCTGGACCCTCAGCTTTCTGAAGTTCTGTTGCTGGTACTCACACTGACTTCATGTTCCAGCTCAGCCAACAAGTCAAACTGGTGTTTTTTGGTGCCTGGCATCTCTGCAGGAACACCAGACCACACCTGGGGGGAACGTATTACAGGAGGTATTTTTAAACTTTACCTATAAAATCATTTCCACCTGTTTGGAAAAACTGTCTTGACCTACTTTATTTAATATACTTGCTGATGAATCTAAGCTGATTACAATCCAGCTCCTCCTCCCTGGGGCCTGTACTCCCCCCATGGCCCCCCATCAGCACGTGCTTGTTTACAGGTGACTGTGCCTGTGTCTGTCCCTGTCAGTTGCTGCTATAATTATGTGCTTTAAGTATTTTGTGAATAACGAAATATGAATGCAGCAGTATAATGTCATTAATGTTTGAAAATTTTACTAAAATTAGGTACAGGCAAGTAATCATATCAAATAGAGAGGAAAAAATTCCTGAGGGAATTCTAATGGCTTTAAGGGTCTTGCTTTCTTTTACATAAATATAAATTGAAAACTTAAGATAAACACTGATGTGGTTTTTGTGGGAATGTTGTGTAAGATTCCAAAGAAAAAGGCTTGCCAAGTCTTACCTAAAAAGAATGGTAAATGAAAATGAAGCATCTGTATGTTTTAGATTTTAAATATATCTTTTAATTATTGTTCCCTTTAACTTGACATTTCCTGATTAACTGATCACTACTAGTTCCAGGCAGGTTAGATAAGAGGGGCTACCTCTGTACTTTTTTTTTTCTGTACAACTTTTAATGAATAGTAGACTGTTCAGCCACCAGTTGAATACACAATACAGAAATCACTGTAAATTTCTTAATATATTAGGTGCATAAATTTTTTTAAAAAGGCAATAATATTCAGCATCCTTATTTATATACTTTGTTAAACAGTGGAGTGATGAACATATTCAAAACAGTTGAACGGTCTGAATTTTTTTATGTCCAAACATTTCAGATAAAAGTCACATATAAACCTTCACTGTTGAGTCCCACGATGCAGAATATAGCCTGTCATTATGCCAACAGATCTTACTAACAGCATCATCATGTCCCATCAATGTGTCCTGGCGTCTTCCAAATGCTATGGAATAAAAATAGCTAAAAGATAATGAGAGGTATTAAAACAGTGTTCCATCTTAATTTTAAGACTCAAACACATATTTAAAAAACATGATATTATTCAATGCTACTATTTACTAAGGCCTAAAAAACTACAAATTGCTTATTCTGATGTTATCAAACCAGAATATTCAAAATTTGAATTTAAAATTAGAAATTTCTCAGTCCGGTCATTTGTTTTTTCACTCACTTAAAACTTAGAAGAAAACAGGTTCCAGTGGAGAAATTTTTAGATTCGATATTTTCCTCATCTATAATATTTGTTCTCTTTAGAAACATAGTGTCCTGGCAGTAGAAGGTCCTGCTACTCTGCATGGAGAATTACAAAGGAGTGTATACTGATACATACACATTATTATCCCAAGAAGAGCTTATGACAGTGGCATCTCCTGGTAAAAGTAAACAAGACGATAAAGCCTGAAATACAAATGATCTGAATTAAAAATATGAAGTGATTAGTAAATCCTTAACATGGTCAATAAGTTCCTCCCAAAATAAATGCTCAAATTCTCTTTATGGAGTCTCTCCTCATGACCAGGTTTTCTGAAGTAGCCAATTCCAGATGTAAGGATTCCTCCCAATGTCCAATGTGTCAAGTGTATTATGATCTAGGACTCTCAGGCCCTGGTGGCCCTCACTGCCTTGGGCTAGAGGAGGTCCTGTTAACACCCTGGAGCAAATACAGGGTGGATGATATAGGCCAGGATAATTCTCAACAACAAAAATGCCCTCTCCAAATTACATATTTAAGTAAATGAGAAAAACTTCCAAAGTTCTTTAGGTAATTCCAAAATGTTTTGGATAATTTACATTAAAAATGTGTTCTAATTTTAGAAGAATTGTTCTTGTTGCATTGGGTATCCTACCAATTCAGAAATACATAAGTAGCACATAAACATTTACTCTGGCAGTTAAAAATAAAAGATTTAGTAAAGCAAATTCTACTGAGTCTTTTTTCAAGACTTAGCCTGAAAAGGAAATCACAATAGTAGGAGAAAGAGACAACCTGAAAAAAAATTTAAATTGAAGCCAACCAAGGTATTCTGTGGATGCCACACAGGAATAAACTCAGTTGTTTTGATCGAGATTAAATATCATTATGTGTGTGTATAAAGCAAACTACTACATGAATTTCCATCATAAAACTGATAAAATGAACTCACCATATTTGAAAATGATATACTTCTTTGAAGCATTTTGGATTCTTTAGAAAACATCTTCAAGGTGGAATCTAAGGTAATAATGAGAAAGCAGACATGTAAGAAAGATTTCCTACCCGCTACAGATGGCCAATGAGTGCTGCCCTTCTTATTCCTGGAGGCCAAAGAGTATGTAATTCCAAGGGACTGGGTGTAGACAGGGCTGGATGATCTAAGGCCTCATCCACATGAAGATTCTACAGTCTAGAACTCCATGATGAGGAAACCAACTTAAATCCCAGAAACCAGTATAAACATAGTACACTGTTGACGTTTCAGCATGATGCAGGCAATAAAGCCTGGCAACTGAGGCGAGTTGAAGTTGAAGAGATGGCGACAGGGATCTTAACATTAAAATAATAAGACATTCTTCAGCATTAACTTGAAAATGAAAACAAAAGAACGAACACACTACTGCTTGAACTTTTCCTTGGGAGGTATGATCAATGCTGATACATCTTCCCGACCTTGCTTTTGATCCTATTAGGCAGCTGTGAATGTTCACCACAAATTATTGAACAAAGCTAATTTGCCACATCCTACAGAATACCCTAAGCCAGTCGGGAGTGTAAAGATGTTTTTGAACAGATTTGTTTCCTGTACCAGAGATGATCAGGTTAAAGCCTGCATTAAGAGCTGATCGCAGGTTGTAACTCTGAATACCCACATATCAAAACATACTGCATAGCTGAGGAAGAATTGTAAAGTTGGGGTGACCACCAGAATGCATACAAATCAGTACCACACATCATGAAAGTTTAAACATGATAAGAAACAACAACAACAAAACTTAAAAACTCTTGCTTTATTAGGCAAATCCATAAAGAAGTGATATAATGCTTAATAAGCCTGAGATTTGAAGGCTGATACTCTTTATAAAACCAGGGTTCACAGGGTCATGCAAGTACAGTGAGCTGAAGAATTTAACAAACCATGCCAGACAGAACCAGCTGACAGCACAGGCTTCAGGAAGAGAGCCTTCTCTCCAGTGCTACAATGTTGGCAAATTCAGCAGGTGGAAATACTGGCAAATCATGGACTGCTTCCCTCTACCAGAGCACCATCTCAGGACCCTGATGTGGCCAGTGTGGGTCCTGCATGTGATGGTCCCTAGGCTCTACAGTATCAATATTTTCCATGTTTTGTAGGAAATTCTGTTTTATAAAATCTGAGACTATATTTAGAGAGAAGGTAATGAAATGCTACAGATGATAAAGCATGGAAACAGAATCTGGGAGTACTGAGAGTACTGATGTACCTAGAAGTGTTTAGTTGGATATCATTTCTTTTTTTTTTTTGGTGGTGCTGGGGATTGAACCCAGGGCCTTGTGCATGTGAAGCAAGGACTCTACCAACTGAGCTATATCCTCACCCTGGATATCATTTGTTAATGGATGAAAAACAATCTATTATTAATAAAGAACAAGTGGCCTCATTAAAAATACCTACTGAATTTTTCAGAATTGGTTTTCTTATCACTGAAGAACAGCTGAAGCATTACCCCTTTTACCTCCATATTTTCTAGAGTGCCAATTCAGGCTCTGAACATAAGTGGGACAGGACACCCTTTGATTGATTATATAATTACACAGACTACCAGGGAAACAAAGAAATGCACAGCAAGAAATCCATTTTGTTATTTAAGATCAAGATGGCCAAATTCTAATGTATTGTTGAAACACAGCTGTAAATCTTATCAAGTAATCATGTTAGGGGTTTTCAGAATTCTGACATGGTACAGTCACATTAGCAATACATGGATTCAATTTCAAGCTAAATCCTATAATAAAGAGAGAGAGAGAGAGAGAGAGAGAGAGAGAAAGAGAGAGAAATCCTGCATGACAAGACTGAGAAATGAAACAGAAAAGCTGCGCTGCACATGCTAGCGCACATGCGTCTGGCACAGCTCTTGAGAAGTCTCTGCCATCCCACTCTGGGTTCACGCACAGCCAGCAAGCAGACCCAACACGTTGCCATGGCAGGTGGTAAAGATCTCAACCAGACATGGGTAAGAAACTCTGGCCTATATCTTTATGCCGGGAAACCTTAGCAACAGAAAGGCACTTTACTTTGTGTTTGGCAAACTACAATGACATTTTACATAATATATTACAAACAAATTGCTTTAATCTATTTTATGGGGAGGCAGTGTTCGCAAGTAAAGTACTCAACCAGGACATAAGAAATGCGGATGCTCTGAGTCAACTTAAACCTCTTTTTGGGTAGGAAAACTTACCTTGTGATGTTGTAAAGACTGAAGACCCGTTGCATGAGACTGCTATCCCCGTGACTGCCCTATTTAAAAACAAAGTTTTATAAAATACTATCAGCCATGTACTCAGACATCTGCTGTGCTCCAAGTCCTTAACTTTCACCTAGTTACTTAATTTTTTCTTTGTACTTTGTCTGCTGGATCTGTCTAGCATATAACTGCCATTAACAGATCACAGTTTGGCAACGTCTGCCTTTGCTTTGATGATTCCTTGTGGCCAGAAAACATTCCCACTCTTAGCTTTCCACATAGCTAGGGTCAATGCTGAATGTGCTTCTGACAATTTTTGACAACTGGAAAATGCTTTTCCTTCAATCCTACCTTATTTGACGATCACCAAGATAACTGAACCTCCTTTTTATAACCACCTCACTTGTGTCATTTCCAAATCCAACTTCTCTGGCATCTGGTCTGTCAAGCATGACACAATCATCTGGTTCTAGCATGTCCTCCTAGAGGACATTCAAGAGTCATTAAACATCATATGAATGAACACTATGGGTTTATTCATGTCTTTGTTGTCCTGGATTACAAGGTCCCTTTCTACATACATGCTATTTGGAGAAGCTGAGAAAAGATACACCATTGTTAAAATAATGAACAGGGTAGAACTAGTTATTTCTTTTCAGAATGCTGTACTCTGGTTTAGAGTCATGCACCTTAAGCCAGGCATACAGCATGTCCAGGTCCACCCATGAGCAATGGCATATGCAATCATGAAACTGTCAGGCTGTTGATGACCATGTAGCAGGACCCTGGGCTCCTGTAATCGAGTTGGCCAGGCTAGGTCAGTGCTTCTCAGGCCTTCCTATAGAAGGACAAGGAACACCCTTTACAGAGAGGAGAGGGTACACACACATCTCCCCTGTATCCAAAGCAAGCCCAGTTTCTTTGAAGTATAGGTATGATTTAAAAACTTCATGTGATCTTTGCAATGTTCTCTGTGTATACACTAATATTTATCATATTTTTAAAAGGATGCATTTCCCCCATATTATCAGTAAACTCAACACTTGAGGAAGAAAGATCATGCTTCTCCCAATATTTCATCATATAATCATGGTCACACATTAACACATATTTGCATCCTAATCCTGTGTCAAAGACAGGATTTTAAGGAATACCAGCATAATAATCATAATAAAAAATTCACATAATGGGTGGCATCCCACTTTTTTTTGCAAAAAACATTTCACGACTGTGCAGTGAAATATAGTTAACTTCAGACCATCAATGATTATAGAGGTGGTGTGTTCAGTCTGAGAGGTAGAAGACCATTTCTTGTCTGCAGAACTGAACTCATGTTATAGAAGGACAGATGGCAGCAATGGCAGCATGAGTCGAGGGGGCCAACATATGTCATTTTGTGCCAAACTTTTCACTTGCTACATTGACTTGTGACAGATCACTGTAGACATGGGGTGGGGGAGCGGGGATAAAAAGCAATCAAGACAACATTGAAAGAAAACTCCCCCCATCCCTCCCCAACTCAGCTTAAAACAGCTCAATCCTATGAAAGTTTTAACTTTTGCAAAAACTATAGGCTACAGAGAAGCATGGAGATATCCTTACTCTTTGTGGATTTTATACTGCTCATGTAACTGCAGTTTGGTGATGTTATTCCAGGCCAGTGTTTTGCTTTCTTCGGTCAGATCTTCAAAAGACTCTTCACCTGGAGAGACTACATTAAATCACTGTTGAGTCAACTAAATTACCGACAGACAACTTCATCCTATTTGTGGTATTATCTATGAAAATTAAACAACCAAGAAAACAAAACACACCCTCCCCACACACAATTGTACTTGTTAGATATTAGGCCATGTTAGATGAGGAAAGAAATTATGTAGAGAAAAATGAAGAGGTATCTGAGTATTATAGTATTCCCAAAGTTTACAAAGCTTTTACTTGCCTACTGATTCACGAATTTCAAGAAATATAAGACTGAGTAACCATTTCCTTATCAGCAATCTTTGCAAAAACCTGGCCACTGCCTAAGAATGCCGAAGTTTTGTTTTGTTTTTGAAGTGGAAGAGGAGGGAAGAAATCAATACAAGAGATGGGATAAAAGAAATGCTTTCACTTCTGCTTTAAGAAATGCTGGCACTTAAAGCAATCACATGACTGTGGTTGTAGCTGGTGACTAAGCAGAGCACAGGATGAAACAGCATCACAAGATAATCCTATGGTCTTTTATGACTTAACCTTGTGAAACATACAGTATGTCTTAAAGAAGTGCATTGAGCTACCCCTGGGTCAAGTAATTTCTATAAGCTCTTCCTCCAGGCTTGAGACCATGAGCCTGAAAAGCCTGGATTTGCTTGGGATAGACAGAATTGGGGATAAAAGATATGCAGTGAATTTGCTGCCAATGTGCCATATGGTGCCACACAGCTCCTCCTTTGGGGCTATAGGCTGAGGTTCTCTCATGTCAGATAAAAAAACACATAACACATACAGTGGTGGTTGGTTCCTTCCTTTCCAGATATCAAGTGTGAAAAATGGGTCAAGTTCATTTTAGCACCTAGCATCTGGATAGAATACTCTGTAACTGTTTGTCAAAAGTTAAATAAGAAAAAAGGAAGAAAACAGAACAGTTTGAATTTAAGATTTGTATGTGGGTTTGGTAAAGAATCGGAGATGGAGGAAGCCATTTTGGGGAAAGAGTAAGGTGGACAGTGCTATAGCAGCCAGGGCCTGGGTTCGAATTGGGCTGGGGTTGTGGCTCAGTGGTAGAGCACTCGCCTAGCATGCAAGAGGCACTGGGTTTGAGCCCCAGCACCACATAAAAAAATAAACAACTAAATATATATATATATATAAATAAAAATAAATAAATAAATATGTACAAAAAAAGGTGTTGTGTACATATACAACTAAAAAAAATATATTTTTATATATATACATATATATGTATTTATATATATTAAGAATACGTGAATTGCTCAGCACTGAACACTAACTTGTAAAACAGAAAAGGGACCCACAGCACAAAATACAGCCAAGTCTCACTCAAAGTACCAGAAAATAAAAGTGTTCATCTCAAAGTTAACAGTTAAAAACAAAGCAAAACAAAAAAACAGGAGAGAAGAAAAACATCTCCTTCTCCTTCTTCCTCTCAGTACTGAGGATTAAACCAAGGCCTTCCATGCTGAGCAAATGCTCTACCACTGAGCTGAACCTCCAGCCCCTGAGAAACAAACATCTCTAAGCAGTTCATCTCCTCTACAGAATCTTCAGAAACATCTTAAACACAAAGGAGAAACAGAAGGTGCTCACGTTCTTTTTATAAAACTTACCTGGGGAATCTACTATAGGAGCATTATAACTGGAAGTCTGGGACAAACTTTTAAACTTGGGGGTGATCCTTCGAGGATGTGGTGTCACAAACAGTTGTTTTGGTGTCTGCCCAAATTCCAAGATTTGGGTTAGCATGGCTACTTTCTCATCAGGATCCTCAATGCTTTAGGACAGAACACAAATAATGCAGTAAACCACCAGGTTCAAGTTCCCTGAAAGCACATGTTTCAAATAATGTAGATCAACAGGAGAGATAAACCCTCAAATAATAATAGCAACTATGGACCAGGACTATCTACGCCTCATTACAGACTTTTAGATTATTTTATAACTAATGTAATGGTGAAGACAAGATAGAATTCATTTTAAAATAACCACATTAGTAATTCAGATAGAGATAGTTTATAACTCATATAGAAATGCTTTACAGATATTTAAGTACCTGTTCAAGTCAACGCCTCCTTCATAGGTCAGGGGATGAAATACTGAAAGAGAGATGTAAACACTACTGAAAGTTGTACTATTTAGGCATCATATTCACCCTGTTCAGAATCTAAACAACCAACCTAACAAGTTAAAACTGTATTCAAAGACATTGATTTTCCACTTTGCAAAATATACTACTATAAACTGAGTAAATATTAACTAGAATTATTATCTGTTGATGAACAAAAATCTAATTGGCTGATTAGCTGATTTATTATCTCGGTGGACCTTGATCAGTATTATTTTATCCTTAAGGGAAGCTTGAGTCAGAGTATTGGTCTGCCATGAGCAATGAGGTCTGAATTTCTAGCTTTATTTTTTTGTTACTGACACAGAAAAGTGGAGGCAGATCAGAACAGAAGCTGAAAAGGAGGTATACTGTCGCTATTTTTTTCTTTTTCTGTTTAATTAAAAAGAAACTCTGGGGCCTTTCATAAGAATTGAGGTCACCGTTCTATCCAATTTTTAGTAATTTTTAAATGGGATGGAGAGTACAGTCAGCCCTCTATATCTGTGGATTTCACATCTGTGCATTCAACCAACTGCATATATTTGAAAAAAAGAACTGCATCTATACGAAACAGGTACAGGTTTTTTCTTTCATTATTCTCTAAACAATACAGTATAACAGCTATTTACACAGCATTTACATTGTATTTGGTGTTATAAGTAATCTAGAGGTGATTTAAATATACAGGAAGATGTATGTAGGTTATATGCAACCACAACACCATTTTACATAAGGGACTCTTGAGCATCCACCGGTTTTGGTAATCACAAGGGGTCCTGAAACACTGAGACCATGGTGCAGCAGTTGTTGTTTAGGCAAAAGCCCTGTGTCCTTGGTTACTCTGTATCTAACCCAGGGTCACGGAGCCAGTGAGCAGAATTTTCTGATAGGAAGAGATGCTTTTGCTAAAGAAATGTTTGATTGCTCTAACCTTATTATTTTTTTGGGGGGGGGTTTGCGTTCCTCACTACTAAACCCTAATTGAAAGTTCAATGAACATAACATACCATTATGGGCCCCAACAGCATCACTCCCTTTTTGCTTGTAGCCAAATATTAGATCAATCCATTCATGGAGATGCTCTGATACATAATTGCTTTCCAGTGCCTCCTTGCTCTTCTGGAGAAAGTCCTCGGGACCTAGCAGATCAGACTCAATCAAAACCTGACACAGACTCCATTATATTCACTCTTATTTCTTTTGTCTGTCCCTATGCAGATTAAGCTTCTAGGATACATAAGAAATGCATATTTCTTATATAATGAGATTTTCCCTCCACATGAAATGTACATTTTTTTGGGTGAGGAATGGTAAGAATCGTTTTTCCAATCTTATGTCTCTCAAATACATATGAATGTTTTTATGTCACAGACTCAGAATACTTCTGATTTGGAACAGACTAATGATATTGACTTATTTATAGAATAATATTGTTATTTTAAAAAATTTAAGCAAGAAAACAATGACGCTGAAATTGTACTATCCAGTAAAAAATGTACATAACACAGTATGTGCACGAAGGTACTCACTTGAGGCCCACAGGGGAAGTTCTACATCATCAACCATCTGTCCTCCTTGTCTCTTCCCCAAATCCAACTTCAGACTATTGACTAAAAAGCTGACATCATCACCATAGAATTCTGGAATCAACTGAAAGTTCCAGGGGAAGAAAAGAAAACAGTAACATTTTTAAATACAGTTAGAAACCACAAGCCCTGAGAATCCTCAGTGTTAACTGCTTACCTCTTTAAAATCTGTTGCACCATCCAAACAGTTTTTCCAGGTTTCTGCAATACTAAATATGGAAAAAAAAATCTCATGTTAAATCTAAGCTACAGAAATACCAATAGCAGTCCTTCCTATGCACCCACCTATGCAACCACTACTGTTGTACTCTTTACCTATACTAACTCATTTTTCTCATTCACTCAGAGTTCTCAATATTCACATGAGTGAGTATTCCCCTTCAATGAAAGAGACAAATGGGGCTCAGGGGGCTCATGTAACTTCTTTGGGGATCACAAAGGGATGAGTGTAGAGTTCAAGTCTACATCATTAGACAGCACACACACACATGGCCTCATTCAAGGTGCCCAGACATTAAAATATCAGCATACTGTTTTAATAGCTCATTTAAAAGTATGTGTATTGGCTTGGGGCTGTAGCTCAGTGGCAGAACGCTTGCCTAGCCTGTGTGAGGCACTGAGTTTGATCCTTAGCACCCCATAAAAAACTAAACACATAAACGTATGCTGACTATCTATAACTATAAAAAAAACAAACAGAAAAAAGTATGTGTATAGACATAAACTAAAATATTAACAACGATAATGATTATCTCATCTCAGTGTGGTGGGATTCCAAGAAAACTTTACTTCCTTTTTCTTTTTTTTTCTGGTGATACTGGGTATTTCCATCTTTATCTTTTGATTTATTTAAAAGAAATATTACCGAATATATATGTGTACACACACACACACACACACACACACACATTCTCTCTCTCTCTCTCTCTCATTAAGTTATAATCAATTTATAGTAGAATTAAGAATAATAAAATGTTGGAAATAATCGAAATGCCCAACAGAGAAAGACAGTTGAAATAATTTATGACATGTTAGAATGTGATATAATAATTTTAAAAATCAGTGTTTTGAAGAATAGCTAATGATGGGCGAAATGTTAAGATCTAATATTGGGCTATAAAAGGCAGGAGAAAAATCTATATTTAAAATATGCGCTCTCATTTATACACACATTCATGCACACATATATATGTTTTAAAAAAGCCTAAAAGGAAAAGCTACAAGTAGTGATTTTTTAATATTTACATTTTTGTTTATATCTACTATTTTTTAAAATATTTTTTTAGACATTGATGGACCTTTATTTTATTTATTTATTTATATGTGGTGCTGAGAATTGAATCCAGTGCCTCACACATGCTAGGCAAGTGCTCTACCACTCAGCCACAACCCCAGCCCTATTTAGTATTTTAAAGGAAATATACTGTGTTTATGTACTCAAAGTGTTAAAGATGGGGAGGCATTGATATCAAACCTGTTGAACATTCTATCTGCATTATCAAATCTTCCATTCTGTAGGCACAGCATATATTCTGGTGCTAGAGAAAAAAAATCAGATTAAGTCGGATCATAGAATCATTTCAGGAAGAAAAATAAGATGTAACTGAGGATATTGCTGAAGATTCTTACCAATTCTGACAAGATAAAAGAGCACATAACCCGGGGAAGAGTAGTGACTTCCATACATGAACTTCGGCTCAGGCATTTCCTCATAGCGAATCTATGATACAGGAAAAAAAAAATAGTGCTTAGTGTTGGTTACAAAGTAGTAACTGACTCAGGTAAAAGCCTAAGAGATCATGGGTGTGGATACACTACATTCCTTAATTTCCCTCTAAGGAAAAACAGAAGAGGGAAGGAACAATGTGACCAATGGCATTCCTATCACAAGAATTTTGGTTTTCTTGGCTTTGTGGTAACAGCGTTGAGGCTAGATGAAATAGAACTGATTTCACGCATCCCTTGTGCCATTTACCATTGAATGCCTTCATGAAAATATTTGGTAAACCTTAAACAGGTCACCCTCCTACTTCCTGAATTATAGATCAAAAATACAAATGGTGAGCACTCATGGTGGGGAGGAGGTGAGAAAACCTATTACACAGGGTCAGTGAGTCACTCCTGGTACACCTCCCAAAGACTGGGAGAAATGAATTTCAGTGACTGTGGAAACAGGCTGTGGCTCATGATATCTCTTAGAAACCAAGCATCCCCCATCCAGTACCAGCAGTCTCTCCAGCCGTTCCTTATTCAAGGCTCCCACTGGCTTACTAAGATCCCGAAAGGTTGCTGGATTTGATAAATCTGTAGACAAAAATAAATAACTTCAGCTTATGCCATTATACTACTGAACTGATTCAAATTCACAGTTTTATTTCTATAATAGTTTTTAAAAACAGTTGATATAAATCCCTAAATTTATTTTTTTATTTATATAGTTATAATGAAAAGGTTAGCAATATCCACATAAAAGTAATAGTTTTAATTTGACAAAAATCAATGAAATTGAATTTTTAAAAAAGGATTTTTGGTTAAAAACAAAAGAACTGTACTCCAATTTAAGACAAGAAAAAAATTAAAGTAACTTAAAAAGTAATTCTTTTACCAAGACTTATTTTCTATGTTTGGATGACAGTGAATATTATTATTCTGTGATATTAACATAATTTGAAAACTAGGGACCTGAATATTATGAGAGAGATAAATTCTCATATTCCTAGAAAATCTATTATTTCCTTCAATCACAAAGGTTCAATTCAGTGAAATGTCAAAAGGAATTAATTGTTCACAATATATAATTATAAATATTACATAATAAAATTATAATATGATCACATTTTTAATAATTTGAGGGAGCAAAAGAAAAGTACATACATCACAAAGTTAAAATGGTTATCTCTCAGTAATATAAGAATAGATGATTTTTATTTCCTTCTTTGATTAAATATTCTATGACGAATAGTTAAATTTCTTTTGGTAATCACCATGGTCAAAATGAATTTTAAAATAATATGATAAACTGAGTCATGATTTTCAATGAAAAGCTTAAATATTTTAAAACTTGGTACTTACAGAAAACAATATTAACACCAGATAAAAATTATGCACATTATTTTCTGTGTCTCCTTCAAGAAGTTTGGTGGAGAAAACATAGAAACATTTATATGATTTATGGAACACTTATCCAGTATCTTGGAACAGAAACTGATGATGTTTAGTAATAAAATTGTAATGAGCTCTAATTTGCTCATGTATGATATGATTCTAAAGCAGAATTAATTCTCTCCTTTAAAAACTATTAAGATGACCACTTCCAACTCAGCTCCATCAAAACCCATACACGGCATTTACCTAATTCTGAGCTGTAATAATCACTTATTACCCATGGAAACACGGGATACTGGGAGAGGTCATTGCAGCTGCGGTCAGCCAGGTTGTTGAGATGGAGGAGGTACTGGTAGTTGGAAAGGTGCCCCCGCTGCCACTGCAACATGTAGCTCTCAGCAGTGTGCTCTGCAACGTGGTGCTCTGAAGAAGGAGAAAGCCCGGAGCCGTCACAAACTCTGCAAATGGCTGGCTAGCGTTTACTTAGTATGTAAAAACTAGATGCTTAAAATGTAGACCCTTCCACAAAATTGTGAAACATATATTTTCGTGGTGCTGGGGATTGAACCCAGGGTCTTGTGCATGCAAGGCAAGCACTCTATCAACTGAGCCATATCCCCAGTCCCTAAAATTTATGTTTTGAGAAAAGAAAAGTAGGTTGTTGATGTGTTTTCCAAAGAAGTAGCTCAACTAAATATGGATACCTCTAAGATCCAGGAGGGTAAATTATTAAATATACTGAACTACTATCTAACCACCAAAATATAATGTGATCTAAACAAATATAAAATTACAGAGCAAATATATAAATATTACATAGCAACAGATATTTATAAATAAATAAAAAAAAATCATTCCAAATGTGCTTAGTTCATTTTTAAAACTAATGGCCATTTGTGAAGGTTTATCATCTTCACTTTTATGGAATTAGAACAAAACTATCCTTTAGTTTTCTTTTAGCTCTGGAAGAGGTATACTAATGTTAATTTGTCAACAATTACATATTATGCACATGAGGACTAAGAAAAATAAAAGAAACTGTTAAAGAAGAAAAAAATTGTTTGGCAAGAGGACCAATTCTCAAATTGGAAGAACCAGAGAGGCCCCCTGACCGCAAAAATGGAGTCACAAGCAACACATACCAATAAGAACTTTACTCTCAGAGTGTGGAATGAACCAATTGTCCTTCAAGTAGTTTTCATTTTGTTCAGAAAATTCTGCTTTCAATTTTTTACTGGATGCATCAAGCAACTGAATACATGTTAATTCAATATTCATATTTGTTTTTAACAAATATCTTTTCCAATCAGCTACTAAGAATGGGCTTCAAAAATCAAACTCTCCCCCATCCCCTTTTGCCACTCCTGAAAAAGTACAATCTTAGGGAAAAAAACTCAAAGGAACTGACAGCTTGAAAGAAGACAGATGTTTTAGATCAGGGTAAGGTTTTTGACTTGAGATTTTAGGACTCACCAGGGAAGCTTAGTTTTTTGTTGTAATTTTATTACAATTAGAAAAATAAAATAAATCAGAAACAAAAAGATAAAAGCAAATTTGTAGCAAAGCTATAGACATGCATCAATTTCACTTAAAGAGTTCAATAAATGAAAAATATAACTATAAACTTAATGTAAAATAATATATATTCCTTTTTGTATGTGAACTATCACTCCTTGAGGGAAAAATTTAATTTGTAAGGGAAAATGTACTTTACTATGTATCTCATAAATGGGTACACTATACACTAGAAGAACAAACAAAATGAGATAATATTAGTCAAACACCAACATTCATTTTTAAAAATCATTCCATTATGTTAATCTGGCAACTTTGTAAATAAGAATAGTTTAATCCAGTCAAGCAATTTATTAAAAAAAAAAAAAAAGCACACGCTCGACAAGAAAAATACAGGTATTCTCTCTGGCAAAGGTAGGAAAATTCAATAAAGATTGACCAATTGTTATTAATAAAAAGTGATTTCTAGTCCAAGGGTGCTATATCAGAAGGTTTATGTGATCCTTCTGTGTAGTTTTACAGCTTGTGATTAAGATCAAATCAGTGATCACATTCATACAATCGGATACCTCACTGTCTCATATTAAGAAATTCAGTCCTGGTGTTCATAAACTACCATTAGACATGACTGAATACAAAAATACTTACTGAATACAAAAATACTTCAGTGGATTCATTATAATCTATTCAAGTTGGAGGTCATTAAAATAGTAAAAACATTTAAATATATTTATCAAGATTTTTTAAAATACACAAGTGGAATGAACTATTACCAAATGAATGCATATGTCCCTCAGTTTTAAGATTCTATTTTGACAACTATAGTTACTGATGAGAAGTAAGTAGCACCATGGAGAGGTGGTTCTAGACAGAGTATCTTTCTCCTCCTCGGTGCTATCCCAGCTCCTGAGGAGTTAAACCACTTCTGCATGAACAGACACAATGAAGGGTGAACAGCAAACCTAGGTATGTGGCAATGTAAAAATAGAGGTCATCTCGATCTTGAGACTCATAGAACTTCAAGTAGATGTCAGAACACAGATTGTCTTCTGTGGAAAATACTTCCAGGCCCTGTAATTCAGAACAAAAAGAGTAGAACAAATAATGGCACCATGCTCATCTTGCAATCCCAGAGTAAGTGCCTAATTACTAAAACTGTTCAGTTACATATCTGTATTCTTGACTTTTATGGCTTGTATTCCTGTTTTCTACCTATAATCTGACTCAAGAATATAGCTATGTCTTTATATTTGTTTATGATGTATTTATAAACTTCCTGGGAACAGCACATGCATTTCAAGTAAACCATAAAATCCTCTTTGGTGTTGAATGTTTGCATGGATAATACCTTTTGTGAACTTATTACTTTGAAATTCAAAATTAGCTTATCCATGCATTCAAGAACTTTTCAGACACATATGTTTAGCTTTCTCTTATAAATTAAATAATTATGTATATTTAACAAAGTGGTAATTGAGTAACCCATTCAATTAATAAATAATTTTCAGAAAACTATGAGCTTCATAAATATTGTGCCGACAAAGTGATTTAGGGTAGGAATTCTCGATTTACTAGCTAGGAAGTTAGAAAGTTAACTCTTTAATAAGTCTCAGTTTCTTTATTTGTAAAATATGTATTTTACAAATAAGTTACAAATAAGTTAACTCTTTAATAAGTCTCAGTTTCTTTATTTGTAAAAATCACCTCACAGAGATTATCATGGCAAATGGCAAAGAAAGCACTTAATGTTTATTTCTTTTCTATCTGACTGATCCTCTATACCCAAAGAAGTAGATTTTTAACAGTATCTGTTCCCCCAATTCTCTATTAGCACTGGAAATGCAGTGTAAAGTAGTATTCAGTATGTAAAGCAGGCAGGAAGATGATTATATTTCACAATTTGAAGACAAAAAACTGAGAGTAAAAATTCCACAAATACTTTTGTAATCAAGTCAATGGTTAATCTTCCAAGGAGGAAAAAAATAACTATATATTGATGTAATATCAAAACCTTTCAGTAAAGACTGGTTTCTAAGGTAAGTAAGATAAACAGAAATATGGACATTTGCTTATTCAGGGGAATGCTGGGAAGAACAGCCCATATGATTTATTTTCTTTTTAAAAAATTTATTCTAATTCATTATATATGACAGCAGAATGCATTTCAATTCATATTATACATATAGAACACAATTTTTCATATCTCTGTTTGTATGCAATGTAGAGTCATACCATTTGTGTCTTCATACATGTACTTAGGGTAATGATGTCCATATCATCTCATTCCAATGCCTTTCTTAGCCTCTTACCCCTTCCCTTCCCTTTGCCCTATCTAGAGTTCATTTATTTCTCCCATGCTGCCCCCCAATCCCCATTATGAATCAGCATCCTTATATCAGAGAAAACATTTGACCTTTGGTTTTCTGGGATTGGCTTACTTCATTTAGCATTATATTCTCCAACTCCATCCATTTACCTGAAAATGCCATGACTCTATTCTCTTTTAATGCTGAGTAATATTCCATTGCGTATATATACCACATTTTCTTTATCCACTCATCTAATGAAGGGCATCTAGGTTGGTTCCACAGTTCAGCCCGTATGATTCAAATGGTTATTTTGTCTATTTCTGTCACCAAGCCCAAAGGTTGAAGTGATATAAGTTAACTATGACTATACCACAGTTCTACTGAAGAGTTACCCTCATAATATCTTCCAAATTCTGCTTTGAGAATAAGCTGCAGTAAATAGGGGGGAAGGAGAAGTGCTGGGTTAGGTCTGCATCCATTATTTTAGCCTGAGCCCAGAAACTCTGAGAACTCAGGGGGGAGAAACTTAAGGGCACTCTAGCCCTCCAGATCTTGGAACAAAAGAAACATTTCTGTAAGGGAACCTCTTGTTTACAGAAAGGAGCTATTCTTTTGTTGATTTCTAGCTTATCCAAAAGAAAGAGTATCAAGAATTAGAGTCCTTGCTTACAACATAACATGCTTGTACTTTTCAGGCATTCTCTAGAGACTGTAAGTCAATAAGCCACCAGCTAAACTGAAGGTCTGACAATCGTCCACCAAGAAACAGAATTACACTCAAACTCACCAAAGGCATGAGGCCATGCCTTCTTTTGTAAATGCGGCGGACGTCTTGCAGCGTTATCTGGACCACGGGTTTCTTTAAAAAATAGAAAGACAATCTCAAGCATTACCATTCGAACACAATTAGAAGTTGTTCTTTAGTATCAGGAAAGGGTGGGAAAAACAAAAACAAACCAAATCCTGCTTCTCCAATGTGTTGCAAGTGAACTTGGAACAAGATTTATCTGATTTTACATTCTGTTTTGCTATTTTTCACTATCTTCATGACCTTGGCCATGTCAGTAACCCCAAGTAACAATGTAGTCAGCTATTTTTAAGGTAATTGCAAAACTGTTGGATGATATAGGATATTAAAGGACTAGTATAGATAACAACTTAGGAATTTTGCTATCTTTTCGCAGGTATACTGACATACATCTTTTTTTTTTTTTTTTTTAAGAATCCTGTTTGATATCTCTTTAACAGTTACAGTGTATTAAATTACTATAATATGTATATATTAAAATAGAGTCAAATGCCTCAAAGATCCCAAGTCAGGTAAAGGATCCTAGCCCACAGATTTATAAAGGAGTAAGGGCTCATACTACAGATTCTGAAACTGTGGCACATATTTAGACACTTTTCTGAAAGTTTTAAACTCAAACAAACGTAGTGGTAGTCAGCAAGCCAATTCATTTCACTATTAAGAGAATGCCATTCCAGCCATGTGCACCATCTACTTGAGAACCAGGCAAGTGTGCCCCACCACCTAGTGGATGAAGTTGGTATAGCACTATCCTTGACTAAAACAGTAGGAACTGTTTTAGTGTCCTGTCATAATCAGTCTGGAGGATTTTCATGGTGTTGGTTTCTATGGCAGAAAACATTCTCAGTTCTTTAAGTTGCACTGCCAGAGAGTGTAAGGGATTCTATGGCAGAAAACATTCTCAGTTCTTTAAGTTGCACTGCCAGAGAGTGTAAGGGTTTCTTTGTTTTTCTAATGAACCATTCCAAAAAGAAGCCAGTTCTAGGAAATAACAACTCTACTTATTTATTTATTTGTTTGTTTGTTAGAAACAACAACTTTACAAATTTTAGTGAAGAAATCTGAGTTTCCTTTCTGGCCTAGTGAGTCTAATGTCCTTGTGAAAGAGAAGATTGTTTCAAAGATCACAGAAGGAGCCCCCAAAGCAGCATCTCAATATGCCCCTCCACACTAGCCAAGAGAGCAGGTTCATAGTGTTTCTTTTAGAAACATTCAGATCTATGGTGTTTGTGATTAAGAAGAAACAAGAAATACCCTCATATTCATATACATAAGTGAATATATAGGAAACACCCATTTCTCATTAATGGTAGTGTATTTCCTTGGTCTCTTCTGGCAGTGCTTTCTAATAAAAAGGTAGAAATCTCCACTGACCTTAAAATCAGGAGGGGAAAGGTTTCTTTCTACAACACTAAAATCAAGAGACTCTAGAATGACTGAAAATAGATTGAAGGAGCTTAAACTTTGGTGACTGTGTTCCAGGACTACATAAAATAGGTGCTGGTAGGGGTGGCAGGCAGGTGATTTTGACCCTCACCAAAATGTGAGGACCCTGTAATTGTGAAGTCAAACTCCCCAAAAAGTCAAGTTTAAAAATGGAGGCAGCTTTGCACCTAACCCTGTGGTCTACATACCGGGTACCCGTTGAGAGGCTGAAAATACAGGTTGGTGTCTGTGATGCACACATGTCCAGGATTCGTCACCAGAGGTGTCACCATTTCTGCTTTGCATTCCATGTGTAGCTTTTCAGAAACACTTTGGAATCTGAAAAGTTAAAAAAAAAAAAAAAAAGTCAGAAATTGATCAATGTTCTAGGTTTATCTACAGCATGACTTTGTATGACATTTGTCTAACCACTACATTTAACATAAGAAAGTGGTAATATAAATTGGCTACTAAAATAAAGTTGACATTCTTTTACATGATATTATGAAAGCTTGATTTTTTTAAAAAACAAAAGAAATTATGGGTCTGGAGTTGTGGCTCAGTGATAGAGCACTTGCCTAGCACGTGTGAGGCACTGGGTTCAAACTTCAGCACCACATTAAAAAAAATAAATAAAATTATTACAACTAAAAATATTTTAAAAAGAGATTATGTGTCTCAGAAGGGAGGTGGATAAATAATACCACTCTTAGATGAACCCTTACTCTTCCCAAAATAAACTGGTCTCGAAACTATTCTTACCTTCATATAATTTTCTATTTTTGTGTGGTTCAGACCTATTTTTATAGTCATAAAAAACATTTTGACACAAATGACATTTACTCACGCTATACTTTAACAGGCTATGACAACATAATTATAATTACTTCAATGTTATTTCAAAGTATATTTATGTTTGGATCTATTTTAATAAAGAAAGTAAAAAATGACCTCTCTACTACCCACTGCTAAAATATATAATCAAAAAAAATGTCTAATACACTCTACTGTCATAAATCTAAAAAGAACTAATATTAAGAAAAACTCTACTCTTCGCTTTATGAATTTAAATTTAGTATGAAAACAACCAAATTTGCCATATTTTAGGGCACTGCTTAAAAAATCTGGGTTGAAAATAAATCTCCTGGGGCTGGAGGGTCTAGCTCAGTGACAGAGCACATACTTAGAATGCATATGCCCTGGGTTCAATCCCCAGCACCAAAATAAGTAAATTTCTTTATAAGTAATGGAATATAATTTAGAGGGACAGAATTACAGTCTAAATCACTACTTAGAAAAATGACATACTAAGTAGGTCAGGGGAAGGTGATTCTTATTATTATTCCTTTCCTTTCTAAAATGAAAACTATTCTTCCTTTGGCAATCCAGTTACCTAATAGATCCTGCCACTACAAAAGTGAAAAGAAAATTAATACTGTAGAGCATAAAGGAAAAAGAAGCAAACATAAACATGAAAATAGGACTGCTGCCCAGATGGCTTTACTGGCAAGTTCTTTAACACATTAAAATGCAGGGGCAAAGGTGAGGATCATTCTGATTCCCAAATTTCACAAAGACAGCAGCATAATAGAATATTACAAACTAATCTCATTTATAAACATGGGCTTCTAGCAAAAGCCTAGAACATAATAATCCCATAAATCAATCTGTTTCACCAACACTTTCTCCTCTGTCCAAAGAATGAATGCTTACGAAAGCAAAAGTCTAAAATAAAAATGCTAATGGAGACTACAAGAAATTCATAGATAACATTTTATACATATAAAGAATCAGAATCTACAGTTAATGAAATTGATTGTGGAGTTTAGCAGGGTTGATGAAAAGATGAACACACAAAAATCTATTGCATCCCATCTATCAACAACAAACAGGAAATGAAAATTTTAATAACATAACCATTTATAATACCATCAAAAGTCTGAAGTTTTTGGAATAAATGTAACAACAGACAGGAAAGATTATAGAGAAGATTTTATTTATTTAATGTTTTGTGGCCATGCTGGGGATTGAACCCAGGGCCTTCTGCATGCAAGGCAAGCACTCTACTAACTGAGCTATATAGCCGGCCCCTAGAGAAGATTTTAAAGAAGACTTAGTAGAAGACAATAGATTCTCTGCAGTCACAAGCAGAAGTCCAAAGCTTTCTTTTATGGAAAGTGACAAGCTGATTTTAAATTTATACCAAAGTGAATAAGATTAAGACTTGTGAAGACATAAGTTAAACTGGGAAAACAGGATATGGGGTCTTATATCACCAGGTAGGTGTTAATAGTTACCATGAGTCTAGATTAATTGACACAGTGGTTTCAGAGAGGAATATATAGACATAAAGCTCAAATTTACTTAATATAAGGCAAGAAACAAGGAAGAAAACAGGATAATACAAAAGTGTCATTTCTTACTGAAATACACGTTTTAATTAATAAAGCTAAGAAAATCAATGAAAAAACTAATAGAACTGTAAGAGTGTATGTACTCTCTCTAGGTCCCCATGGGATACTACAAAAAAGTACTTAAAGTAACTTGAGGGGTCAAGAAAGACTTTCTAGAAGAACCGATATCTAAGCTGAAATCAGAAAGACAAGATAGCTATGTACAAAAGAGGAGTGTGTATGTTCTAAGCAAGGGCTCGGAGGTAAGAATCCACAGGACAACAGGAACTGCACGTAATACAAACAGCTCGGGCACAGAACTCAAGAGCAATCAGCTATTAGGAGCAGGAAAAAAAAATTGGCCCCTAAAGGTTGTGCCCACAGTGAGGTGTTCAGATTCATCCTGAAGGCCTGGAGAGTCTTACAGAACTAACTCTCAGCAGGCAGGTTGTATGATTAAACAAGTGCTTCAGAAACAGCATCTTTTAAAAGGACATTAGGTCTAGGGAAGGGGACATATGGAAGAGGGAAGACCTGAGTCAGGCAGATGGACTAGGAGCTGTAGTGGTGCTGGGGTGGTGGTCAGGGTGGCCCGAACAGGGGCAATCACAGGATGAAAACAGTGGATGTACTGGAGAGATCAGGGAGCATAAATGAAGACAGCTAACTGACAGGTTAAGTGTGAAGAGTGGTGGGAGCCCCCAAATTCCTCCTCAACTGAGGCTGGTGCATCCCCTTGGGTGGGCAGGTTTGGGGTGAGATGACAATGACAACATCAGTCTTGGACATACTCAGTGAGGCCTACAGAAGACGATGTCCATTGCTTTTCTAAGTAGGAAACAAAATCATTAAAAACATACCTGTTTTTGTCAAATGATGTCCTAGCCAAACGTGACTGCAAGATAGCCGTTATCTATGAGAAGAGATCCATTAAAAATTATGAATGTTAACTACTTATGAGTAACATGTTAACACAAGGTAATTCACAAAGATACCAATAGGAACACTTACCATGGCAGTCTGGTCACCCAGTTTGTCAAGGCAGGATGCTCTGTGAAGCTACAATATCATAAATACACATGATCATTTTTTTTTCTCAGATGGGATGGAGTATTTCTTTAGAAGCAACAAAAAACACGAATTATTCTGTCACTTGGTGATAGCCCAGATTATTTTGTGTGTATGTATGCTACTTCCTAATAGACAGCTTGCAAATCCTACTTATTCAAATAAATCTGCCAGGTAGATAGAAAAGAGATTACGGTTCGGATCATAGGGAAACATGAAATGTTTTTTAAAAAAGGTTTCTGCCTCAGTTTGCTTCGGAGTTCTCCTTCCAGGGAGTGGCTAAGTCACTGGCTTACCTGAAGCAGCGTCTCCACCACATCTTCCACTTTCCCTGAAACATCCAATTCAAAGACATATTCCATTTTGCCCTAACAAAAAGAGGAGGATATCAAAAGAATAGAGAAGGAGGAGCATGTCATCCCTGTGACATTAAGATCATTTGTGCAACACCAGCTAAGTTCCACCTGTTTCTGCCTCACCCTGGATTCACTGCTATTACTTCCTGCCTTCTGCTGACTTTGGGTTTACTCTGCCCTTCTTGTTCTAATTCCTTGATGTGTAGTTAGGATTTTCATTCTGAGATCTCTCTTCTTTTTTTAAAGCAGGCATTTATCTTTAGGAACTTCCCTCTGAATATTGCTTTGCTCCCATACATTGTTGTGTTTTTGTTCTTATTTGTCTTGAGATACTTTCTAATTTCTCTTTTCTTATTTGACTCACTGGTTTCTTGGTTGCATGTTGTTGAATTGCCATATATCTGTGAACTTCCCAGCTTTCTGCTGTTATTTCTAGTTTCATGCCATTGTGGTTGGAAAGGATAAATGATATTTCCATCATCTTAAATTTGTTAAGACTTGTTTTGTAATCTCACATGTGATCTGTCCTGGGAATGTCCCATGAGCTTGAGAAGAATGTGTGTTCTGCTGTCACGGGTGGAATGCTCTGTGTGTGTCTGCCAGGTCCATTTGGTCTGCAGTGTTTCTTGTCTTCTGTTTCCTCACTGATGTTCTATCTGGATGTTCTACCCATTGTTGAAATTGGGTACTGACATTTATTATTAATCTGTTGACTAATTCACACACTTAGATGCTCTGAGACTAGGTATGTATGTATTGTGATAGTTAATTTTGTGTGTCAACTGGATTAGGCCACGGGGTGCCAAAATACTTGATTAAACATTATATTTGGATATCTCTCAGAAGATGTTTTTGAATGAGATTAACATTTGAATCAGTAAACTTAGTAGATTGCCCTCTCCAATGTGGGTAGGCCTCCTCTGATCTATTGAGAACCCAAATAAAATAAAAAGCTAAGTAGAAAAAAATATTCTTCCTCTCTGTGTTCAAGCTGGGATTTTGGTCTTGTCTTGCCTTGAGACTAGGGCTCAAACTCAAAGTAGAACTTACATGGATGGCTCTCCTGGTTCTGTGCCTTTCAATCTTTATAATAACACGGGTCAATTTCTTATAATAATCTCAACCCCCGCCCCTCCCACACATTATGCATGCATGTATGTACTCATGCACATGCATATACATACACACATCCTACTGGTTCCATTTCTTTAGATAACCCTAATACATGTATACATATATATAACTGTGCAGCTTGCATTTGAGGTGAGTCTCGAGAAAGCCTTTAAGAGAGACAGCAACCCAGGGAGTGGTTCTCAACTTGGGGGTAGGACATTTTACTTCCCTGGAGGCTTTTGTCAATGTGTGTAGGTGCTGTGTAAACAACAAGGGGGCAGTGTGTAAAAGGCATTCAGCAGGCAGTAAGAGACAGTAAGGAGGGACAGCCGCATACAATGAAGAATTGTCCTCCCCAAAATGCCAGTAATACCTTCTAGGAGTAATTAAAACTCAATATTTGTATTTTTAGAGTAACCAGGGTATGCAAATGTTTATCTGTAAAACTCAAAGGCATATACAGTTGTGCATTTCATAGACTGCTGGTTAAGAAACTGCAGGCTGGCCTGCTATCTGGACTGAGATTCAGGCTGGGGGGATGTATCTACCCAGGGAAGGGATTTTCCTAACTCACAGAGATGCCAGGAATAAGAAGCACGGGCCCTGTTCCTAACTCCTTTAAAAACTCTCTTTTAGCTGGAGTTATCTCTTTACCATGCATTAAGCTGAAGTATAAAGAATTAAAATATAGAGGAGTTCCATGAAATACCTAAGCTCATTTGAAAATTCCTGATGAACCAGACACTGTATTCAAGTCTACTCAGCTTCCAGCCAATTAAGAGTAGTTATAACTGAGTTTTCAAAGAAGATTACTTTATAACATACAAATAAATATTTCTCAGATATTTAAAAATATTTTTTAGTAATATATTAGCAAAGAAATTCTCAGTAAAATCCAGCAAATACTTTTATAAATGATCCATATTCGGTTTTCAATTTCTTTTTTTCTGATTTCAATTTCTAATCTAATCATTTAAGCTCTCATTCTTTAGGCTAATCTGTCTATTTATTTATTTATTTATTTATTTATTTTGAGGTTAATTGAATTCTCTTGGACTAAAGTCTGTGTCTCCCTTGGGTAATTTTGTTATAACTGGTAATAAACTTTTAAGTATACCCAATATTGTTATATTTGATTAAAGACGTTAATCAAGTCACAAAATCTTAATATTCAAAATCACTACATAAATTATTGGGAATACATGAAGAACTTTACTTACCCTTTCTATTTTATATGGTGCAACAATATTATGTTCTTTAATAAAATATACCTGAGGAAGACAAGTCAATACTTTTGAAACAATAACCCAAATTTTTCACCATAAAGAATAACTATAATCTAGGATATTATGAACTGAATATTTTAAATCATTGTTACATAATCTCCATTGGTGAAACTACTGCATTAATTAATTATTAATTTGTATGGTCTTAAAAGTTCAAATATTAACATAACAAATATTAAATTAAAAAGAGAATTATCAAGATAACAAGGAAGCAACAATTATTGGATAGATGAATATCTGAGATGCTTTATGAATGTTATTATTTGTACCAAGTAACCAAGTAGATAGCAGAAGGAAGCTAATATAAGCTCTGGTTTTTCTAAGAAGTGGGTAAAACAAAGTCACTGTGGAATGAATACACTAACATAAAGTAATTGTGTTTTCAGCAGGCCACCAGTTCTCACACTAGGTGTTGGTAATTATGTGGACAAGCAACACCATTCAGCACAGCATGGACTCCTTGCACCACCTGTACCCTGTCCCTGCCTGTCTTCCCCCAGACAGTGGAGGGACCGCCTGGGTCTTAAAAGGCCAGCGGCTCTCCTGGGGCACAGATGTGGACTCCCCCTACACCTGTGAGTCATTCAGCAACTCTGTTCCTATGATCATACACTGCACCTTCTCCCATTTTATACAAATCACAGGTAACTATCCCCACTTGGTTTCACATCCTTCTCTGGCCATTTCTGTTCCTTTTGTGGCAAAACTTTGCCAGAGCTGCCTATACCTTTCCTTGGGCCCATGACAGGGCCCACACTACATTGGTAGAAACCACTCCTCCAGTGCACGAAAAGGGCACGAGACCTCCATGCACCAAATCCAACGGTAGGTTTGCCAGTCTATCTTAGCTCTTCTTCTCAGAGCACATGAGAGAGCTGATGGTATTTTTACTAGGGCTTGCAGGACACTGGATCCTGGTACTCCCCCTCTCTTCCCAACCTAATGCTGAAGAGAAGCAGGGCCCTAGTCCTTGGATCTCTCTGGCCATTCTTAGTCACTGGCAAATCTCTATTCTCAGAGTTTAAGGACTATCTGGAGCTGGGCACAGTGGTGCAACATATAATCCCAGCAGCTTGGGAGGCAGAGGAAGGAGGATTGTAAATTTAAGGCCAGCCTCAGAAAGTTGGTGAGGTCCTGAACAACTGAGACCCTGTCTCAAAAAAAATATTAAAAAAAAGGCTGGGGATGTGGATCAGTCAGTGGTTAAGTGCCCCTGGGTTCAATTTCTGGTACCAAAAACAAAGCCACCATGTGGAAATTTTCAACTCCCTCCCTTATCTTTCTAGCCACAGCTTCTTCTCTGAAACTCAGCCAAATGCATCCTAACACCCTACTGGACTTCTCTTGGAGGTCTGTTAGGCATCTCAACTCTCACACTCTGAACCACGCCTGTTCTTCCCCAGACTTCTTTATCTTCAAAAAAGGCACCACTAACCACCTATTGGAGTCCTTCCTGATTGTTCTGCTACATACCCTGCTACTAACCTATTGGCACATTTATTTGATTTTTCTTCAGAATATATACAAACAAAAACCACCTTTCACCATCCTGAGACAAAACACTTGAGTTTCTGAATAACCCCAAGTGTCCCCTAACTTGCCTTTGTACAATTTGCTCTCCATCCAGCCTCAAAAGTGATTTAGAACTATGTGTAAATCAGATTTTGACTCTTCTCTTTTAGTTCTCCAGTGGCTTTTCTCTTCTGCTGTTTACTCTAAACCTTAAAGCATTGCCGTGGCCCAGAGGCCCTCAGTGACATGGACCTGGCCCCTGCTCCAGTCTCCCTCTGAGTGCTCTTCTCAACTCCCACCACCCAGGCACACATGCCACCTCTTGGTTCCTCACCACCATTCTCTTCACCTGGAATGCTCTGCTCATAACAATCCCATAGCTCACTCTTTCCTGCCTCTGGGAGTCTAGTCAAGTGGTGCCTTCCTGAGAAGGTACCTGACCACTCACAGTAATATTCTCCATCACTTTCTATTCCTGGTCCTGCTTTCATTTTCTTTGATATTTATCTCTACCCGACACTGGAGGAAATGCTTGCTTATTGTCTCTCCCACTGAAAAGCATAATTCAGGGGCTGGGGTTGTGGCTCAGTGGTAGAGCACCTGCCTAGCATGTGTGAGGCACTGGGTTTGATTCTCAGCACCACATATAAATAAATGAATAAAATAAAGGTCCAGCAACAACTAAAGACATTAAAAAAATAAAAAGAAAAGCATAATTTATGGAGAGAGAGAGGCTTTGGATATCTTGTTCTTCCCTCTATCTGGGACCCTGAATATTTATTTTGTTTGAGCAGCAACAACAACAACAAACAAACAAACAAAAAACAAAAACTGGAAGCAAAACTCTCTAAATCTAAAGCACCATAACCTATTTCTGAGACCTTGTGACCTACTAAGTAATCAGAAAACAGAAAAGTTGCCTGGTTGTGCACTTAACACGGAAAGCTTAATACTCAAAAGAGTAGCTTTGGGTCCAGGCATCCCTTGATGTTAAACTGATTTCAGGTTAGTTTGAGATCGCTTCTGAAAACTATTAAAAGTAGGTAACAGATTTGGGGACTTTATTTATAAGCCCAAAGCTAGTAAAATTTTGCTAAAACAACTAAGAAATCAAAGTTCTATCATGAAAATACTAGTTTTAACTGAGCGAGTACCTCTTCTTTCCCAAATATAGATGTTCAAAAATAAGGTCATAAAAGTAGTAAGATAAATGGATATGAGAACACAGGGGCGGACCAGAATTAATAGCAGCCTCTCAAAACGGTAGATGGCTGTAACTGTATCCACCTCTGTCAGTAAAGCAACATGAAGTTGCCAGCAGGGTGGTGCAGGTCTATAGTCCCAGCCACTCAGGAGGCTCAGGTGTAAGGAGAGCAAGTTCCTCATTTGAGACCCTATCTCAAAATAAAAATAAAGAGGACTGGGGAAGTAGCTCAGTAGTAGAATGCCCCAGGTTCAATCCCTAATACTACAAAATAAATAACTAAAAGAAGAAGTCAAGAAGCTCACAAAATGTTTTCTTCCTTAAAATTAATAGACTCATGGAGGGCTGGGGTTGTAGCTCAGTGGTAGAGCGCTTGATTAGCAAGCATGAGGCACTGGGTTTGATCCTCAGCACCACATAAAAAATAAATAAATAAAATAAAGGTATCATGTCCATCTACAACTTTAAAAAATTAAAAAAAATACACTCATGGAAGAGAGAAATAGAAAATCATCTAATCTGAAATCTCCTAGCTCTTGTAAAACAATTTCAACACACAATAAACAGTGTTCCATAAAGGGCTCAGTGACCCACGGAGTGTAGGGGCCACTCTTCTTCTGACTCCTGTGAGACTCTCCGCACTGTCATAGGTGAACCTTTGAGTGGAGTCCTGAAACAAAGAATCTGTCTTTGTTTGGCTTTTCTGACACTCACTTGATTAGAGAATGATCTTTCTCTGAACACTTCCACACCTCAAAGAACTAGAGCTCTGCAGAATTGAGTTGAGGCAACACAGCTAATGCTTCATTTTAAGGTGAAGAAGAAATCCAGAGCCCAAAGAAAGTAGTAGATCTCTACTCCCTTCTCATTTAAAGTTTTAAAGACAATCTACACACTAATCATATGACATAAATACAAAACATATACAGGTTTTTAATCTCTTGTAATGCCAGTACTGTACTGAGCACCTATATTGAGCACATCATTGGGTACATAAATGAAAACAGAATAAATTGGGAATCAACAAAAGACCATGACCCCAAGGGTCATGATGATACAAGAAGGGCCCTCCTGAGTCATGCCTGGGCTGCCGTGAGTCAGCCTGAGTTCATGCATGTGGCCTGTGCTTGCTTGCCTTCTACCTTCTAAATGACCACAAGGTTCAGGAGGAACTGCCACCTCTTCTCTCAACCCATCCACGCTGACGAGCACCTGAGGACAAAACCCTAAACCCATAGATACTTAATAAATATCAAGGGGGCTGGGGTTGTGGCTCAGTGGTAGAGTGCTTGCCTAGCATGTGTGAGGCTCTGGGTACAACTGTCAGCACCACATAAAGTTAAATAAATAAAGGTATTGTGTCCATCTACAACTAAAAAATAATTTAAAAAATCAAGGATCCTATTGGAAAATATATCTTTAAAAAGGTTTTTTTCCAAAGACTAAATTTTAAAGGCACTTAAACATATATTTCAATGATCTTCATTTGAGATTCCTACAGAAAAAATAATTTCATAATGTGAAAAGAAACCACACAAATGCATACATACGTGTGCATAAAAGTTCCAAAAAATTATTTACTAGGTGCTTCTTACCTGACTGAAAATGAGTGAAATACCACCAGATTTTGCCCTAAAATACAGATAAAAGTCATCAGAGATATAATACTTTTGATTGAGCTAGAAGATAAATAGTTAATGAAGAGCACATACTTTGCAAAGTGTTGATTGGCTCCATTTTCTCCATGTTTTCCTATCTTTATACAGTCTCTCAAAGGAATCTAGATAAAATTGAGAAAAAATATTATAAAAATAAGCAAAGGTAAATATATAAAAAATAGGAATGTTTTTGTTCACACTTAGAATGTGTTTACCTTAATGATAGGTTGGGATATTGCATCTGGTTCAAAAATCACTGATTTTGAACATATTTTTAAGGAGCCTCTGATTTTCCTGGGAATTAGAAGAGATTACTTAATGAATATAATAATAGTCACATGGTACATTTTAACTAGAAAATAGGTTTCTAAGTCATCAGCTAAGAAAAGCTCAACAACACAATTAGAGAAGATATGATAGGCTGGAAAAAATAAAATAATTTCCCTTTTCTCCACCTCCTTAGATGTTACAGAAATCTGCACATTTTAAAATTATGGTTTCATCTGTTGAGCACTGTACCATACCTTCTATTTTTATTGCCTTATTTTGTCCTCACAGCTATTCTATAAGATAAACTAAAGACCAGAAAGGTTAATAAATATTGACTCTATCATATCATCAATAAATTCTCTATATTCAAAAGAACAATTCAGAAGGTAATATTAAATGTCTAAAATTGATTAGATAAAGGTATTTTTAATTTAAAATCATACAGAGAATATAGAGCTTAAATTGAGCACATAAAATGCCTTTAACAGTGATTTTGGGGTTATGGAGGAATTCAAGAAAAAAATCTGTTTCACGATAATAAATGCCTTTAAAAGTCTATCCATCTACTACTATAATATCAAGTAAATCAGTTATGAATTTTACCATTTTCATCTTTTCTTGAGCCATTTATGTGTCTTCAATAAGTTGTAGAAATTCTCAAGCATTTTAGAGTCAGTTGTTAGTTTTGGATAATGAACATCACTTGCTGGAAGCTAATAAAAAACTATAAAGTTTATTTTCATTTATGGATTGGATGACTTATCAATGATCAAACCAAGATAACAGTTTATTATGTAGACAGAATATAGATCAAGAGACACTGGAATACTAATACAAAGAAATCATCTTAAGATCAGTTTCCAGTAGTATGTTTTGTCTACAAGTAGAATTTTAAAAATCTCAGTTTCTTTAAAATCACTTCCATTACATTTGGAATTTTTCTCTGGCCATTTCTTGGTCCTGTTCAATTCTCTTGCTTGGTCCATTCCAGGGCTCTCTCAAATCTCCCTGCCTTAATGGAAGCAATTTTTGTAGGCTCTCCATATCTGAGGTTCAGAATCCACATATTTAATAAATCTTGGGTAAAAACAAATTTTTAATAATTCTAGAAAGTACCAAAAGGATCAACTTGAATTTGCCATATACCTAGACTACACTGAATCCATGAAAATGAAGTGATGTGTCAGCATTGTTCATAGGTTATTGTAAGTAACCTAGAGATGATTTAAAGTATATGGGAGGACATCCAAAGATTTTGGCATCTGTAGGAGTCCAGGAAAAATTAACCCCTTGTAGATACTGGGGTCTACAAGATGAACTGGGTTCAAAAGAGCTGGCTGCAAGATTAAGCTAAAAAATCGGTGAGAAAGCACAGGACACAGAAGTAATTTTCATATTGAGGGTAGGATGGCTCTGTGCCTTAAGGGTCAACTTCCACGCTGGAAGGCACCTGGAATCTCTTTATTTTTATAGTGGGGGTGGCAGAGGCGGACATACAAAGGAGTTTTGATAGGAAGTTTCAAAGGGGGTTTGCCCAATCCCATTGGGTAATGCTCAAGTCCACAGCTGAAGCAAACTTCTTTGCCAAGGGAAGGTGAAGGACACTTGCCTCGCATAGTGCGAGGTGTGCGATGCCAGACCAACACCCCCTTTACTCAAGGCTGAGACGGGAGGCTTAGCTCTTGGGCAGGGCGGCCTCCCACACTGGGGAATAAACTATATATCCAAATTTCTATATAAGGACCTCTTAAGCAAAGAAAACAATCACATAGAGAAACAAGGCTTCCAGTCTGACAATTCCTCTTCCCCATACCTCCCATCAGCACCACCAGAGTAACACTCCTATTCTTCTGTAGGAAGGAAGTATTTATTTAGCATTCTCTCTTCAGTGCTTAATACATATGCATTGAAGGATGAGAAGACCCATCACAGCGATGGTCATGGTTCTTTACAATCCTCTTCTTCAAGGGGCTTGTAAACTTTATATCATTTTTTCACACTGTTACATGCATTTACTTTTTATGCCCAAACTTGCCCAATAGTAACTTAAAAAAAAAAAAAAAAACTTTTGAAATGTCTAAACATATATGAATAGACTGGAGTACCATGTTTGGATAATTATTCCTCAGAAGACCATGTGCTAAAGGTCCCCCAGATAGACACTACTGGGAGGTGGTGGAAGCTTAGAGGTAAGGCTTAGTGGGAGGTTTTCAAGTCACTGGGACACATCCTTGAAGGGGATAATGGCACCCCAGCTCCTTTCCCTTTCTTACTTTGGCTTCTTGGTCATGAGATGAACAGGTTTGAATGTTCCTGCCCTCATGTGCCATCACAGGCTTGAAAACAACAGGGCAAGATGGTCATGGACTGAAACCTTCAAAACTGTGAACAATCTTATCTCTTTATAAGCCGATATCTCAAGTGTTTGTTAAATGAGTAGAAAGCTGACTAAACACACGGACTATTGAGAAAATTCTAGACATCATTCACTTCATCCACAAATACTTTAGTAGGAATCACATGAGAAACACTCTTAATAAATGGCCTTTCATTATCACACCTAAAAATTAGGACTGAGAGCACAGCTCATGGTGGAGTACATGCTAAGCAGGTGTGCAAAGCCCAGGGTCCCATTCCCAAGCACTAGTAACAATTTCTTCATTTCATCAAGTATATAGTCAGTGTTCATATTTTTTTATTTTATAATAGAAAAGTTTTTTTTCAATTATATAAATGCCTTCACAGTCAGTTTGCTCAAATAAAAATCCAAATAAGTCCATATTACATTTAGTTGATATGTCCACTACCATCTCTTAATCTAAGCTAATTTTCTCACACTACGAATTTTGCTGAATACATCTCTGTCATTTTCCTATACTCACATACTCCCTTTAAATTATTGGTAAGATTAAAAGACTTGATCAGACTCTGATTTGATCTTCTGATGACAAGACTTCAGAGGAGGGGCACAGGTATTGCCTTTGCTTTAGTAGGCACTGGGGGCCTCAAGTAATAATATTCATTATAAGACTTCTCCAAAACGTCTTACCTAATGGTTTCAGCAGCTATTAAAGATTAATGTCTAAATCAGAGGTTGGCAAACTTCTGTGAAGAGCCAGATAGTAAGTATCTCTAGCTTTGGAGGCCAGAAAGTCTCCATCACAACTCTCCGCCCCCTCCACCCCAACTGTTCAAATACAAACAAATGGGTAGGCCTGTGTCCCAGTAAAACTTTGCTCAAAGGAGTGGGTCAGATTTGGCCAATAGGCTATAGTTTGCTGACCCCCTAGTGTGATCCATATTTCATACGGATTGAAATGTTATCATTCCTCCTGTATTTATTAGCTAGAATTTGTCAGCAAAGAACTTACTGGCAACTTAGTGATACTGAAGTACAACTTGTACAAGGAAAATAAACAAAAAACTTCATTATACACTTTTATAGAAAGCTTTCAAAAGGTAAGATCAAATAAGCAGAATCTTTTAAAAGTCATAACCAGTAGTTACTAATATATGAAGAAATCAGATTTTGCTTCTAATTCAAACTACATAATTACCTATTCATTTTGAAAGAGCTGATTTTATACCAGTTTCACTGTTCATGAACATTGCTTTATAGCACAATAACCACAATGATCAAGAGCACTGCATTAACTCTAAGGAAAAAAATAATGGGTGGATTCAGAGTCCTGTCCATCATCTTCGGAGGAATTAGAAGGATTCACCTTTTGGCTTTGAAAAACATTTAAAGTTATGACAGCAACTTATAAATCTACTTTCCTTGTTAATTTCTACCTAACAAGAAGAGAGAAAAATCCTATGTGATCCTACATTTACTTTTAAAAAACAGGCATGGGAAAGGTATGTTAGTGTACAAACCTCCAAGAGCTCTCCTACCTTTCTTCCTGGCTACCATTGCACTGAACATGATTAGCTGTGTGCTGTTCAAAGTAGTATTCCTCCAAGTTAAGCAGCAACAAGGAAAACCTAAATTTGGGAGAGGAAAGAGAATTCTTTTATATTTAATTTTTAGAAAGTATGAGCAGGCAGTAAATGTAACATGTCTTCCTCCAAGTGCTTCTTCTCATTCCTTAATTTAAAAGCACTTATGGAGCATTTCTTGCATGCCAAGCACTCTTCCCTAGCTACCCAATGGCAGGGAGAAACACACAGACCAGCCTGACTCGTGGGTCAAATGACCACTCTGTCAAAAATAAAATATAGAAATCTCAAGTTGTCATGAAATTAAACTTTTCTGGCCTGAAGAAGCTTCTTTCTCTCCCACCTATGGAATTTTTAGTTTCTACTGAAGGAACATGCCAGGTTTCCCCACTTCTTCCCTACTAATGTTACAGCGAGATCACAATAAATCACGGAGTCAATCTTAAAGCAGGAGACGGAACCTTCTTTATTCACCACCTAGGGGGTCCAGATTCACCAGCTGAGGGGCCAAGGGGCAGGCTGCAAGTCTACACTCTTCAAGCCCCTCTAGGGATTAGAACATACTTTTTATATCATAAATAAAGCATGTCACTACATTAATCATAAATGGCTATTGCTATGATTCAAAACCATAAACAAATATAATGAGATATAAAATCATAAGCAGACAGGGAAGTGGGGCAAAATGACCCTAGCTGAGTAAAAGTTAAAGAATGATTACTAACATCTAGACAAACATTGACATTTTATGATGTTAGAGTACATTGCCCAAAAAAAATGGAAACCCAAAAGAGAACAATTTTACACTGTATAAAAATTGCCATTTTGTGCAAATCAAAACTACTCTAAGATGTCATCTCACTCCAGTCAGAATGGCAGCTATTATGAAGACAAACAACAATAAGTGATGGCAAGATGTGGGGAAAAAGGCCCACTCATACATTGCTGGTGGGACTGCAAATTGGTGCAGCCAATATGGAAAGCAGTATGGAGATTCCTTAGAAAACTGGGAATGGAACCACCATTTAACCCAGCTATCCCTCTCCTCAGTCTATACACAAAGGACTTAAAAACAGAATACTACAGGGACACAGCCACATTAATGTTTACAGCAGCACAATTCACAATAGTTAAACTGTAGAACCAACCTAGATGCCCTTCAGTAGATGAATGGATAAAAAAATGTGGCATATATACACAATGGAATATTACTCAGCAATAAAAGAGAATAAAATCATGGCATTTACAGGTAAATGGATGGTGTTGGAGAAGATAATGCTAAGTAAAGTTAAGCCAATCCCCAAAAAACAAATGCTGAATGTTTTCTCTAATATAAGGTGACTGATTCATAGTGGAGTAGGGAGGGGGAGCATGGGAGGAATAGATGAACTCTAGATAGAGGAGAGGGGTAGGAGGAGAAGGGAGAGAGCAGGGGGATAGCAAGGATGGTGGAATGTGATGGACATCATTATCCCAAGTACATGTATGAAGACACAAATCAGTGTGAACATACTTTATATACAACCAGAGATATGAAAAATTGTGCTTTATATGCGTAACAAGAATTGTAATGCATTCCGCTGTCATTTAAAAAAAAAAGTAAAAAAAAAAAAAAAGAATTGCCATTTTGTGTTGCCAAACATGCTATGCTAAGCAACTGTTAATAGGTACAGAGGGAGAAACATTTCTTACATGATGTGGAGTCTCAGGGTAAAATGGAGTCTGTTTGATCACTGTCCACACAACTGGCCCATAACACCAACATCACATCTCATAGTGATTTGAGTTCATCTTATTACTCCGATAGTACCACGTGCCTCTAGGACACAGGTCCTGATAGCACCTGTCATAACCAACCTAATGCTTTGTACACAATGGTATTTAATATGTAAGTAAACTGAATGGAATGAGGTTGAATTATAATTCTTTGAATTTTAAGTGCTTTAAACTTCTAAAAATAAGATAGGAAGATTAAAAAAAAATTGAGTTGCATGGCCACAGGAAAAAACCTAAGGCAAAGAAGTAAAAATAAGCATCATTTGTTTTGTGATAAGGACCAGGAAACATAATAGCATTTAGAGTTATGAGCAAAAGTGGTCTTAAGAAGGGACTTGAGATACATCTTGGAGTTGTGGTATGTTGGCTAAAGATATTCAGATTAAATGCAGCAGATTAGGCATAAATGATTCTTTCTGAAATCAGACCAAAATTTGAATGAAAATATTTTAAAATGGCAAAATCCAAATATTAACACAAATTGGAAAGACATCAAAGCAAGACAGAGTTGTGGGCAAATCTGTGGAAGATAGAAAGCAGAAGGAAGGAATAAGCAGATCCAGAAAGAATATCAGATACCTCAGAAAAAGCACCACTCAGGAGAAAACCAAGCAGGTCCCGGGACTTCCCAAAAGTCCAGAAATGGCAGGTATCAAGTTCCAAGACAGCACCTAAACACAAATGGTGATCCCAGGATCACCAGCCCCTAATATGAAAGAACAACATCAAAGCAAGCAGGAAGAACGCTGCTTGAGGGACTAGAGACAACGCAGAGAAGACAAGGTCCAGAGACCATAATTAAATATCCTTACAAGCAGGAAATTATATTCATGACCCAAGAAAATACTGCTCATTTTAAAAAAATAATCTGAACGACCAGGTGTGGTAGTGCACACTTGTAATTCCTGCACCTGGGGAGGCTGAGACAGGAGGATCCAGAGTTCAAAGCCAGCCTCTGCAAAAGTGAGGTGCTAAGCAATTCAGACCCTGTCTCTAAATAAAATACAAAACAGGGCTGGGGATGTGGCTCAGCAGCCTAGTGCCCCTGAGTTCAATCCCTGGTACCGCCCCCAACCTCCAACAAAAATAAATTCTAAACCAAAACAAGAGTGACTCATAAAATTAATGACAGTAGAAACCAGTTTTATTATCCTACTAGGTAACTTTTATTGACCTGTCATCCATTTAAATCCATGAACAAAAATCAGTCATAAATTTGGTTTGATTCCCAGTAAGTATGTATATATGTCTTAGGCATATAAATATGTCATAGGTGTGTGTGTGTCAGAGAGGGAGGGTGGAGGGAGAGAGGAGGAGGCTAAACTACCAGAGCACAATATGAAATGCTCAATACTTAATCTGAATTTCAACATAATCACAAGATTTAGGATGGCTATGTTATGGTCTGAGCCTAATCAATATAGATCACAGATTATAGATTATGAGATATTAATAAGTAGGATAATAGGATTATATGATAAGTGATATAGAGTAAATAATGTTAAGCTATTTCTAAGATATTAAAAATTGTTCTTCTGAACTTCATGTGCCCACAAATGTGCTTGAACCCAGGCTGTGATTGTCTGCTTTCGCTCTGCTAACTGCTTTCTCAGCCCTTGTATCTTGCTTGCTGGCCTGCACCTACAATTTGGAGGATGTGTTTTTTTCTTCCCCTTATAAACCCCATAGAATTCGGACCCGGTGCTGTTTCTAGCAGAGATAATTTGGGTTCTGCAGGGAGCAGTCCCAGCTGGCTAAACAACAACAACAACAACAACAAACCTCTCTAGTTTGGACAAAATTCGGACTGAAAGTGTTTTCTGAGCCATCAACCCACAACAGTTAGAAACAGCCCTTTGATGTATCTGATGATTTCCAGGAAGGTTTTAGACCAGGGAGATATTAATTACTTTGTCCCTTGTTTCTACCTTATGTTTCAATGTCTGGAAACCCTCTGCTTAGGCTGGAGCTGTGCACTTCTTTATTCTCTCTCCTGATCTCCCTAGTTCCTCCTCTTATAGAGAGGGAAAAATAAATAAATAAGACAATGACATCATTTTATAACTATGAAGCACAAACCACCTTCAGAGACAACCAGTGCTTCCACATAACTACTAAACATGTTCATATCAGCCAGGCATGGTGGTGCATGCCTATAATTCCAACAACTCAGGAGGCTGAGGCAGGAGGATCACAGGTCCAGGACAGCCTCAGCAACTTTGTAAAACCCTGTCTCAAAAAAAAAAAAAAAAATTAAAAAGGCTGGGGTAGCTCAGTGGTAAAGCACCCCTGAGTTCAATCCCTGGTACCACACACAAAAAAGTTTATATTAAATTTTATTTCAGAACTGAAGTCATCATTTTAGCAAATACATTAATATAGCCGCCTCAATTTATCAATGTGCATATTTTGCATTAAATGAAAAACACCTGGAGCAGGTATATAATTAAATCATATTGTTCAAACTTAATAAGGAACTTTTCCCCTATTTACTAGAGTATATAGTTAGATCTTCTTTAAATTTTTTCTACTTAAAAAACTATTACAATTAAGTTTCATGGGTTTTACAGTGATTTTCAAGCTCTATTCTAATTTTGTTAAAAAAATTTCCATGCTTTAAACAAAATTAAAATGGGGCTGGGATTGTGGCTCAGCAGTAGAGCGCTTGCCTGGCACGGTTGAGGTGCTGGTTTCAATCCAAATAAATAAATAAATAAAGGTATTGTGTCCAACTACAACTAAATAAAATAAAAATAAAAAATAAAAAACCCCACTGTTTTGTAGTTGTATGATCTAAATCATTAGTATTATATCAGACTGTAAGTTATTTCTTTAGGAGACCATGACACTGCATATTCCTAGTTTAACCCCTTTTATAGGGTGTGGAGTCATTCTCTTTAGATACATTTCCTCATTGAGCAAGTCAACTTTATTAAAAAAATGTTGTCTTATCCTTGTGTCACCTGAATTTTTGTTGTTGTTTATTTATACAGTGAGTTGAACCCAGAAATGCTCTACTATTGAGCTACAGCCCCAGCCTCTCCCCACTTTATAATGGTTTCATATAATCTTTATTCTGTTTTTTTTTTTTTTTTTTTTTTTCCTTTTTAGTACCAGGGAATGAACTCAAGGGCACTTGACCACTGAGCCACATCCCCAACCCTATTTTGCATTTTATTTAAAGCCAGGGTCTCACTGAGTTGCTTAGGGCCTCGTGAAATTGCTGAAGCTGGCTTTGAACTCACGATACTCCTGTCTCAGCCTCCAGA